GATTCAATTTGACAACCTAAATAATGTTGAATAAAGAGACCATTTTGTATATTTGTTAAAACAGCCCCCAACCATACAAATGCAAAAAAAGCAGTCTTTATCTGGTCGTTTTATGGATCTAATTGTATTTTATTCTAACAAATCCTCTCCCTGCTGCTGATACAGTTTTAAAGCTGAGCTACTTTGACCGTTTTTTTGTTTCACAAATATTGCTTTTTTTTTTGACAGAATCTCACTAATTGAGATTACTTCAAAGAAGAATCTCACTAATTTTTCACTTTTCTGTTTTTTCTGTTTTTTGCTGTTTTGAGAGCGAGAAACAATATGGATTGTTCAATTTGTTGCAGTTTGAAAGTTAGGTACCCCAGCTTTAATTTTTTTATAAAACCTTATCAAAACAGATATGATCCAGGACACTCAACCTTCAACAACATTTATGGACATTTATGGACATTGGTCTCTGTCTCTTATGGACCAATGGCTCTATGTGTTTTTTTTCATTGCATTTCTTGTGTTCGAACTGTGATTCTCTGATCCGTGTTGGCAAATTCAACAGTTTTGCAAAGTCCTCCGAGATAATTGTTGTGATTTAGGCCTATACAAGACTAAAATGAATTGAATTGAATGGTGATATCAGCTTTGGCAAAATCATTCATCATATAATTATCCTCATTCATTCATTCATTCATTCATTCATTTTCAACCCCTTTATTAGTCCATTTCCGGGTCGGGGGTGGCAATGAGAGCTGCCACCCAATGCTCATAGCACCATTCCCTGTGATTCTCCTGCAGGTGGTACTGTAGGTCCACGGGAAGATGGCTTCTTCACACAGCCTTGTTCTTTCACCGGGGGCTTCAGGCAACGTGGAGTTTAGTGTCTTGCCCAAGGACACAACAACAGCAGACATTTGTGGGAGCAGTTGGATAGGTCCCATGATGGGCTCGAATACCTCAGGCCCAAAAGCCAATGCTTTACCAACTGAGCTACTGTCGCTGCATATTATTATCCTCCCACTGCTTATTGTCCAGACAGTCTCAAATCCGTCACATCCTCAAACATCCCAAACGCAGACAGCCGTATATACTGAGAAAGCCCGGGACAGTGACCAGAAGACTCAGAACGCTCGATGTCCCATGAGTCAGAATAACACTGTTGACACTGGTGAGGAGTGTGACGCGCCCCCACAAAGACACACTCATGAATGATGTCTTTATCAAGCACCAAATCTGCTCATATGATGTCTCCACGCACAACAATCCACCCCTGTGTTCTTCAGGCCGGGCTGGAATGGACCGAGGCGCGGCCATTTCTTTACATTCTATGCGTCAAGTAATAGATATCTCTCTCTCCCCCCACCTCCCCACCTCCCCATCTCCCTCAGGCCTTTTATTTTTCAGATGAAATTGAGTTATGGCTGCAAACAGACGCTGGGTATCGGAGGGGTAATGTAATCAGCAGAGCTTTTAGACGGCCTGTGTGGCTACATCGTTGTGAGGACATCTGGGAGGGTGTGTATGCCATGTGTATTTTTCTTTTTTTTGGTTCAAGGTTTTGTCGCACCAGATGTACACCTTCCCTTTACAGTATGCAACATTATGTCTGGAAAGAGCGATGAGAAAAGTAGCACCCATAATACTCTTATAGCAGTTATAGACGGGGTGGGATCAAACATATTCTGTGCCAATCTGCTTAGTCAGTTCCACAGAAACTCAGGAACTGTTTTACATTGCATACTTTCATTATTGCTACTACACTACTCATTCATGCGCCTGAGTCATAGATGTGTCGGTCTACAGAGCTATCCCCTGAATAACACACTTTTTTAGCAAGAAGACTAAAATAAAGTACATTCTTTCTTTCAATTTTCTGGTGAACTGAAACAGAGATTCTTATGTGAGCGAGCTTGTGCCTCCACAGAGAGGACTCGTACTTTGCCTGGAGGAGAGCCTCAGCCAGCTCGTTTCCATAGCTAAGCATTATGGATCTCATTAATCACCTGCATTAATATAGGAAGCTCCAAGTTTCCAATACGACTTTGTAGAACCTGGAGGAAACTTGACATGGGGAGATCATGCAAACCGCTGTAACGGCTGAGCTACATGTAGAAACTGTCACGTCAACCTGAGAAAATGTTATGATGTGTACTTTTGGTATTTTGTACTTGGGTTTATTTTGACTTCAATTCTGTGGTTTTGTTTTTAGTTTGACTTCCTGGTCCCTGTTGGTCCTCTGTCCTCATGTTTCACCCGTGTCTATATGTACCTGTGTCTCTGCGTCTATATGTACCTGTGTCTCTCTGTGTTATGTACCTGTCTCTCTGTGTCCGTATGTACCTGTGTCTCTCTGTGTCTGTATGTACCTGTGTCTCTCTGTGTCTGTATGTACCTGTGTCTCTCTGTGTCTGTATGTACCTGTGTCTCTCTGTGTCTGTATGTACCTGTGTCTCTCTGTGTCCGTATGTACCTGTGTCTCTCTGTGTCCGTATGTACCTGTGTCTCTCTGTGTCTGTATGTACCTGTGTCTCTCTGTGTCTGTATGTACCTGTGTCTCTGTGTCTGTATGTACCTGTGTCTCTCTGTGTCTGTATGTACCTGTGTCTCTCTGTGTCTGTATGTACCTGTGTCTCTTTGTCTGTATGTACCTGTGTCTCTCTGTGTCTGTATGTACCTGTGTCTCTCTGTGTCTGTATGTACCTGTGTCTCTGTGGAGCACAGAGCACATGAGAATATGAATATTAGGTATAGCACAACAATAAATGAAACATAAGCTTCTAACTTTAGCGTGATAAAGAAACATAGAAACATAGGAATCAAACCTGTAAACTGTAGAGCAAAGAAGTGCATATTTATACAATTATAAAGGACCGTACTTAAGGCAAGGAAAGGTGTAAAATTATCTCTAATTTAAACACTAGAGGATTCTGTTCATCAGAAAAATATAATTTAACAAAAATACAACAAATATTTGTGGCCAACTGACCTAAAATTAAACCAAGGAAGACCAAAAGAATGAACCCCCGCCAAGAACTAAGGAGGCCTTAAACTGAATTAAAATAATAACCTGTAGCAGTGTCTCTTGATGTTTGGGAAATGCATTTTTCTGACTCAATATGTGTTTATGCAGAAAGACCCTCGGGTCATCATTCATGATTTTAAGTTATTACAATCACACTATTGTTATGAGAATAATTCTGCCTGTGACACAATTCTTGAGCAGTGATTACTGAAGCAAACCACCTGCTGGAGTTTAAGCCATAAACAGAACAAACTGAGTATAATGTTTGACAACTTCTGTTTCTGCTTTCATCTGAACAGATGTGAGGGGATTTTGTGTGAATTTTGTAAATACTACTAATAATAAAATTTTACAATGGTCAATACCAGTCTCGTCTCCACCATATTTTATGGCTCTGTCCCTCAGTCACCAGTGGTAAGAACACTCATCCATCCATTCATCCATTTTCTTCCCCTTAATCCATTTCTGGGTTTGGGGGGTGACCAGAGATGCCCAGTACACTCAGCACCAGCCCCTCACTGATCCTCCTGCAGGTTGTGAGTCTACAGGAGCCTTGATCTTTCAGCAGGGACTTCAGGCAAAGTGGGGTTAAGTGTCTTGCCCAAGGACACAACGACAGCAGTCATCAGTGGGAGTCGTGAAGTAGGTCTTATGGTGGGCACGAACCCACGACCTTCAGGCCCAAAGGCCAAAGCTCTACCAACTGAGCCACTGTTGTCCACTACACTGAGGAAAGCGACCTTATTAGCCAAGGGTCAGCAAAAGCTCCCTAGCAACTGTTGCGATAACCAAAATATAGACACGCACACACAGGTTTTCCTACATTTGTGAATCTACAAAACACATATTTGGCAAGTTTAGAAACTTAATTTTTACTTTACAAAATAAACAACCAGGTAACGGTTTGTGCTCATTTCTATGTGTTGCTATAGTGACGCCTCGGGTGAACTTATAGAATATAGAATCCTCACCGACTACGGTATAAATCTTAATCAACTGTTTCGAACATTGACCTGCACAATGTCATTACACCTTATTAAAGTGAAGGCTGAACAAATACTAAATCTGTTTTCTGGGATTGCAAAAAGAATTGCAAAGAAAATAAATGTGAAACTGTCCTCAATTGTGGAATATCAGTCACATTTACAGGATTCAGTCAATGGTTGATCTATGGTTTGTTAAATTATACATAACTGTCTCCGTCCTCTGCTTTAGACACATCCTTCCAAAGCCAGGAGCGATGTTTGCCATAGTCAGATGGAGGTTTTAACCAAGTCTGGAGGTGGAATCAAACACATGACCTTCTTGCTGTGAGGGACAAGTGCTAACGTGCTGCTGATGGGTTTTAGGGATCACAAAGTAAATCTGGCACAGGCCCCAGAGAAACAGGGAGTCTCTGTGCAGAAGACCTGTCGTAATATCAGCCTGTGTTTATGAATCACTGCAAAAAGGTTTATTCACTGCATGTAATAAACCTGCAATAAACCTTCAAATCAATTGAATTATTAACCAATAGACAATAACACTGAATATCCTTGTGAAGGCAAGTTTATGTCTATAGCACAGTTCATAAAAAGGCAACTCAAAGTGCTTAACAAAACAAGAACAATCATACAGGCAATAAAATCACAGAACATTAAAAAGAATGAATAAATCACGTGTCTACTGGTATAAGATTGAATAGATCGGAGTTTTATATTCTTACCCCATAGGCAAAATAATTAACAGTTTAAAATATAAGCGCTTTCATAAATATTTTGAACATTTAATTTGATTATTCATGTATTGGGTTTGGACAAATCACATTCATCAACATTGATGCCTTAAGCGTCAGTGTAAATGCGCCGGACTCAGCACAACTGCTAAATATTTATTGTAATACTTGTAATTTACCTCCTGTGACCTTTTAACGGGGGTGGGGCTGATAGAAGAGCATCCCACACCCCCATCACGAGACCATCACGCTTATTATGGCCCTCCAACATCACCATGGCAACAGCGAGGACACCACCATCCCCATCACCACCACCATCAACATCATCATCATGTTCTTTTTCTTCTCAAATGAACCCCAAACAGACACGCTCTGCACCGAGGGACACACCAGGGCTCCCCCTCTTTTCAACATGCCTTTTACGCACGCTCCAAACTGAGCCCTGCGTTGGCACCCATGGGTGAATCTCGCAACAGCGCGCTCAGGCCACACTGGTGAAATCATATGGGCGTGGTTTTTGGATGGGGATGCTGCCGTCTGCTCCTGCTGGGATCCCCACCTGCCTCGGATCAATATAGCGCTGTTCCCTTTTCGCTTTCCCCGCGCGTCTGTCTGCCGCTCATGCACCGCCCGTGGCATAAACCCGAGACAGATCCACAAACATCATTTCTACAGCGTTTTCCTCCATCCCACTGCGGTATTGTGTAAGCCAGGCTTCTACAAGCAGCGTGACGCCAGAGCTGTTGGAATAAACAACCAGCCTTCACGCGCTTTAGGACTGGATTTGGATATTTTCCGAGTTCAAACATGGACAAGCCCGTGCCGCCGCTGTTGCCGAGGCTGGAGCGACTTCTGCTGCTGCTCCTCTTGCTCCTAGTCAGCGGAGAAGTTTGCGCCAAGAAAGCCAGGCAACCGCGCTGTCCCCACTCCTGTACGTGCACCAAAGATAACGCGTTGTGTGAGAGCGCAGGGCTGATTCCACGCAGCTTTCCGCCAGATGTGATTTCTCTGTAAGTCCGGGCACCTTTGCATTTTGCATTTATGACTGCCAATCTGGGTTTGACGCATCGCTACACAGTCTTTCCTCTGCTTTCACAGATCGTTTGTCAAGTCGAAATTCACTGAAATCCCAAAGGAGAGCTTCATTCACACGCCCGCGCTGCACCTCCTGTGAGTTTTAATTCTGTCATAAATGTTGTGGTTTTATAAGGCTCTGTTTCTCCTCTTTAAACAGCTTGCAGACGTAGTGTTGTCAGGAATGGATTGTGGGGAGATCCCTTGGTTTTTTGTGCAGGGAATTCCTCACCGGACTGACTCATGGGGCCTTTGAACAGTATATGTGAGAGGCTGAGGATTCAAACCTCCACCTCTGCGTCTGATCTGTTTCCCACCGAGACTTAGAAGCTGTTGGAGAGGCGAAAAATAGTGTTTCCAAGGCCAAGTGCTGTGTTATTTATGAGCTGCAGGATAGTGGGACATGATGGAATAACTTTGTGCACTGTGCAGGCTCTTCACGGCCAACGAGCTGGAGTCCATAGACGAGGATGCATTCTATGGCCTGCCGCATTTGGAGTATCTGTGAGTGTGGAGAGGGATGTGGGTTGCGTTACTGTGTTGTTAGAATGTGGATGATAACCTAATGGTGTGTGTGCGTTTCAGATTCATTGAAAACAACCAAATCAAAGCAATCTCCCCGAATGCCTTCAGGGGTCTCAAGACGCTGGTGCACATGTGAGTGGAGAAATATATCGGTGTTTGTGTATACTGCGTGTGTGTGTGTGTGTGTTTGTATTCAGTTCAATTTAATTCAATAAAATATATCTTTTTATAGCCCTACATCACAACATCAGACTTTACAAAGTTGTCGTTTCACCAACAACAGATAAGAGAATCAAACAGTTCAAACACAGAAAATGCAATCATAACAAACAGGAGCGATTGGTCCATAGCGTGCAGGATGACCAATGTCAATAAATGTTAATATATGTCCCTAAATGTCCTGTGTATGTGTATGTGTGTGTGTGGGTGTGTAATATATCAGGCTAAGTCATAGCTTCACAGGTGCGATGCAAAACCACAGTAGATTTGTTATACAGAGCTGCTTCTCCACAGACAAGACCTGTTACTGGGCATTCCATGAATTTTTTCAGTCAAAGCAATAATAAATCAGTATTAACACTGCTCAAAGTTTAAATACGACACCGAGCAGCACTAAGACGGCTTAGGCTGTGGTCAGGATTAATGCCAATGTTTTCTTCTGTGGTTAGTTTGCAACCTGCACGTGTGAATCCCCATGTTACACCACATTCTTCTGTCCCAGTGCTGGTTCTAGAGTCTGCATCCCAACAGAACAGTGCAGTCCGGTGCTTTGTAATCCACAGAAATACAACAACAACAACAACTTATTCTTGTATAGCCCTAAATCACAACAGCAGTAATCTCGGAGGACTTAACAAAACCATTGAAATCACCAACACAGATCAGAGAATCAACAGTTACGACACAAAATATACACATATGTATTGGTCCATAGGGAGAGACCAATGTCCATGAATGTTGATAAATGTCCATACATGTTGTAGAGTGTTAAAGTGTCCTGGATCATCACCACAGACCTTCTAGTTGGACACTAACTGCCCAATAGACCCTCCTGCATCGGCAAGGAAAAACTCACAAAAACCCAGTGGGGAAAAAAGTGAGAAACCTCAGGAGGACCCAATTGAGAAAGGGATCCGCTCCTCACAAAAATTTTTGCTCTTTGTCATGTGAAAAAACATTACTGGCATGTTTCTCATAGTCATCTGGATGTGGTTTTCAGGTACTAAAATATACACTGTCCTAAGAGAAAGTACTGCCTTATGTGAAGAGTTTAGACCCTGAAGTGTGTGTATTGGACCAGGGGAGTTCACACTTCCTTCAATAGACATGCCTAAATCAATATGTATTGTCGTGCCTAGAGCCAAACGCAATCACGTCTACGGAGATTGAATTATGCGATGATCTGTGTCTATTTAAGGGAAGAGACTGGCTTTTATGATCGCCAAATACAGGACATATTTCTGCACAAAATGTGATTGGAACATTGAAGTCTGCTCCAGTTTCAGACCAGTTCTGTCACAAAACATACCATGTCATTATCAAATCAACAAACTGCATTGTTGTAGCCAGTTTGCGGTCCCAGCAGGGACTGGGCAAAGCTGATTGAAGCTTCTTTTGGAGCACACTCGAGTTGTGTAGATTCTGTATATATTTAACACAATACAGTACAGTACAATTCCTCACAGATGCAGGAGGGTCGAAGGACAGTGGTGATCAAGGACATTTAAGGACATTTGAGGACATTTGACCTCATAATCGATATAGGCCTATGTGTTTGTTATCATTGCATTTTCATTCTCTGATTTGTTGTTGCTGAATCGACAACAATGCGAAGTCCTCAGGAGAAGATAAGAAACTTTATTGATCTCACAATGGAGAAATAGACATGTCACATTTTGGCATAAATAGAATCACAGGATGTGCAAAAAGCCAGGAAAAGTGCAAACATGTTAAAAAAGTAAAAAAGACTCTCTTGTGCAAGATATATTGTGTGTAGCTAAACTAAAAGTGGCTATAGCAGTGCGAGTTTACAGTCCTAGTGCATTAAAGTCACTTGTTGTACAGTCTGACAGCGGTGAAGGCTGAAGTGGTCCCCTGGACTCCTGCATAATGCGTTTCTTTATTCATCTATTGTCGCTCAGATTGAGTGTCTCTGTCTGGAAAAGGCTTCGCTCCTAAGGCCTGGGAGCATTGCAGTTTTTTCTGTTTGCTGCTCGTCTGTGAGAGGATGTTCTTTCGCCTTGAATATTTCTGCAGATCTGGCAAGAAAAGTATTTATCTCCACGGAAACACGCAGATGACGCCTCAAGGCATTTTCTGTGGTTGCAGAAGTAAAAACATCTCGTTATTAATGCACTTTTAAATGAGTTCATTACCTCAGAGAGCATTTTGTCACAAGCAGACGCTAACCCCCCTTCCCGAAAAGTTCCAAAAGGCAGATTATGCAATATTGTTCCGTCATTAAAAACAGGAACTTCAAGCACAACCCCCGCCCCCACTGTCTTAATGCTCCATTCTCAAATTAGTTATGCTGTGATGTATTCTTAGAACAGGCAAGTCAGACTCTGGCTCGAGGGCCAAATCCAGCACACAGGACAATCTTTAATGGCCCCCAATATCATTTTCTATTGTTATACCATGGCATGTTATACTGTACATCATCTATTTTCTTAAGAAAACAACCAAATCCAATGTATTGTAACATTTTAACCCAAAACATAATGTTTTTAAGTGTATGTTTGGTCCAGTTTTGTTTAAATTCAAGAACTTTATTTTCATTTATTTTTTCAAGATCAACCAGGAAATAATAGTGAACCTCATGTCACATTAAAGTCATGCAAAAATAGCATCATAATGAAAAAAACAAAAGGAATTTCGGCCACCAACCAGTTCCTATTTTTTTTATTGGGCCCCTGAGTTTGACACCCCTTACGACACTGACCTCAGCTGGTCCCACTAGATTAGTTTGTTTAAGCAGCAGATGGCTCAGTGTAAGACCCTCTCTGTTCTGTTCCAGGAGCCTCGCTTACAACAACCTGGACTCTCTGCCCAAAGACCTGTTCAAAGGCCTGGACGCTCTCACCAAAGTGTAAGCCCCGACACCTCCACCTGACGGATACCAACAGTACACACGGTAGTCCTCACGCAGCACGGTAGTCCTCACGCAGCACGGTAGTCCTCACGCACGGTAGTCCTCACACACGGTAGTCCATACACACAGTAGTCCATACACACAGTAGTCCATACACACAGTAGTCCATACACACAGTAGTCCTCACACACAGTAGTCCTCACACACAGTAGTCCTCATACACAGTAGTCCTCACACACAGTAGTCCATACACACAGTAGTCCTCACACACAGTAGTCCATACACACAGTAGTCCTCACACACAGTAGTCCATACACACAGTAGTCCTCACACACAGTAGTCCTCACACACAGTAGTCCTCATACACAGTAGTCCTCACACACAGTAGTCCTCATACACAGTAGTCCTCACACACAGTAGTCCTCATACACAGTAGTCCTCACACACAGTAGTCCATACACACAGTAGTCCTCACACACAGTAGTCCATACACACAGTAGTCCTCACACACAGTAGTTCTAAAGCCTCTTTGTCTTCACACTGGTTATTTATAGGAGATTGTATCATTATTTCACTTGTTCCGCTCGGCCGTGATAAAGCGTGTGGGCGGCCTTCAGAATGAAGTCGTTAAATTTGCATGTGATGAAGAGGAGGAGGAATGGTCTCATCCATCACCCACACAGAACGTCCTGCTTTTTAATGTCTATTTTACATGAATGACAGCGCCGTGCCTCACTTTAAAAGGAGAATGTGGCCTGCACTAGTGTTCAGTGTCAGGTAAATGTTAAATTATTACATGTATATTGAAAACAAAGTCATTTTTTTTTATCACCATGACAATATTGAGACATTTCGGTGCAATCCATCATATTTATGTAAATATATGCTTTGAAATGACGTTAAAGTATTATATAAAATTGACAGTGAACAATTTAATGTTATGGTAAAGCAGATGTGAACAGTTAGGGTTACTTTTTAATGAATGTTTCGTTCTTATTGGTCAAAACTGTAAAAGCTTGGTTTCAAGTATCACACTAAAAGTTAATTGGTGGAAAATAATAACAAAATGGATTACACAAATGTTATCTTTGTTTCTTTGTTGAAGAATATTACACACACAATTAATGTACACACTCTTGTGCGTAAAAATCATATTTTGGAATGAAAAGTAAAGATACATATAGTCTCTAGAGCTTTTGTATTGGTCCAAAAATAGCCATATTAACATTTCAATATGTTTCCCACATTTACAAACACATCATTGCTCATCGAAAGGAACACTATGTGTGTGTTGTGTTTATAAATGATGGTTGTGTTGCAGAGATCTCCGTGGAAACCAGTTCAGCTGTGACTGTAAGCTCAAGTGGCTGGTGGAGTGGATCTACAGCACCAACGCCACCGTGGACCAGATCTACTGCAAAGGACCCGCCTCGCAGCTCGACAAGAAGATCAACGACCTGGTGCCACAGTCCTTCGACTGCATCACCACAGGTACAACCCCCAACACAAGCACTCCACTCACAGCAAGAAGGTCCTGCTGAGATTTGCATATTTCTTTGTGTTGACTTTCATTTTTGTCACAAAGTGCTTTCATATCGTTGTGAGTAGTATTAAAAAAATCACCCTTTTTGTGAAATATCTAACTTGTGGCCGTGGTCTGCATAAACACATCCCCCCTCCTCGGACTAAATGTTCTGTTTTCAAACTCACACTATGACATCACAGACAGAGCTGTTTCATACGTAAAACCAGATTGTCTCCAATTTAGCAGAATTAAGTCGAAATGTGTTGAAACAGATTTCTTTTGCTCAACTCTATGAAGATGCTTGTGTAGCATCACTTTGGTCAAGTTTATGAAGCTTATTACCATATTCACTGACCTCCTGTAATCTAACTAAATAGATCATCCAAATAATTGTAATTACAGCTTTAAATATTTGCACCAAGTAGAGTCATCACATCATTGAACCTCTAGATTGTATTTTATTCTGAATCTAACATTGTGTGGTTGAGTTTTATTAAAGATGATGTATGCAACTTCAATTGTATTTCATTTTTATAGGAATATAAATATTTCACCATGTGACCCTGGAGTATTATTTAAATTAAGTTTTTTTCATAAAATATATTTAAAACAGCTACATTCCTAGGCATAAACACCAACAGTAGGATTTGCTGGAGGAGAATTGTTTGACCAATGATGAGAGATCACAGCTGTGTCCAGGATTTGAAGTCAATCAGGAAGCTGCGAGCGCAATGAAAACATCTCTCCATTTTCATAAAGTAACTGACCTTTCCTTTAAGTTCGAAGTCTACTTATTGTCCTGCAGAGTTTGCATCGTACCAGAGCCTGAAGTTTGAGTCCATCTCTGTGGAGGCCTTCACCTTCGGACAGGACCAGTACGTGGTCTACGCTCAGCCCTTCATCGGGAAGTGCACCTTCTTAGAGTGGGACCATGTGGAGATGGTCTTCAGGAACTACGACGACATCAACAGTGAGTCCACAACAACCAGTTCCTTTGTTACAGGGGGACGGGCTCGCGACAAAGGGGTCAGCTGGTGCTATAGTGATCAAAAATATTGAATTAATGTAGAGAAAAAGGGAGATTGTCTTCCTTTTACATCCAAACAACTTTAAGCCTTCAAATTATGGCCTATAATCATTTGTACAAGGAGTATCTGTAAAGATTTTTGTACATTCAACATTTAGTTTATTTTCCATTTTAACTCTTAACTAATTCCCTCTTATTTCGGCATTGACTGTGTTGTCTCCAATCTATAGCTTGGGAGGCACCAGTAGCTAATTAGCCTGTGTATCTCTAATGACAATAATGCATTTTTCATGGCCATCTATGCGCCGGTGTCTATAAACAACCGGCATCATATGCAATGGCTCAAAGGTATTCACTTAAATGTATTTGTTAAATTCTAATTCCTTTGGCGAGCTACCTGTTAGGGACTGGAGAGCTACTGGTGGCTCCCGAGCTACAGGTTGGAGACCCCTGTCCTAAACCAAAAGGACTACATTTTTATTGTCATGGTAAAAATGTGTAGCAATCTTGGCCAAAGGATTAATCTTAGGAGTGCCTCAGAACTTCTTTTTCCAACCCTGTTCTTTGTTTGAAACCAGGCACGTCTACAGTCATCTGCAAACCTCTCGTGATCGACAACCAGCTCTTCATCATCGTGGCTCAACTGTTCGGCGGCTCGCACATCTACAAGCGTGACGTCTCCGCCAACAAGTTCATCAAACTCCAAGGCATCGACATCCTGAAGATCCGCAAGCCCAACGACGTAGAGACCTTCCGGATTGACGGAGAATCCTTCTTCGTGGTCGCCGACAGCTCTAAAGCCGGATCCACCACGATATACAAGTGGAACGGCAACGGCTTCTACTCGCACCAGTCCCTTCACCCATGGTACCGCGACACCGACGTGGAATACATGGAGATCTCCTCAAAACCTCACCTGATCCTGTCCAGCAGCTCGCAAAGACCCGTGATCTACCAATGGAACAAAGGTACCAAGGAGTTCGACCGGCGGACGGACATCCCCGAGATGGAAGACGTCTACGCGGTCAAGCATTTCCGCGCCAACTCCGAGCTGTACATCTGCTTGACGCGCTTCATCGGCGACTCCAAAGTGATGCGCTGGGACGGGGCTTTGTTCCGCGAGCTCCAGACCATGCCCTCAAGAGGATCCATGGTGTTCCAGCCGTTCACCGTCGGCAGTTGGCTGTACGCAATCCTAGGCAGCGACTACTCCTTCACACAGGTTTACCGATGGGACGCAAAGAAGGGAGAGTTCTTTCACTTCCAAGAAGTCAACATCCAGGCGCCCAGAGCGTTTTCGCCGGTGTCTATAGACAACCGGCAGTTTCTCCTAGCGTCCAGTTTCAAAGGGAAAACGCAGATCTTTGAGCATTTGGTGATCGATTTGAGCAACTGAAGGCGTGTGAAGACTTTGTGACTGGGGAAGGATTATGTCTGGAGACGAAAGATCAGTTCATATCATGCATGATCCATGACGTCCATACAAAACAATTAGTCACAGTCAAATATGAAAGATGATAAAAATACACGCCAGCAATCTTAGGGAAAGGCGTTGTGCCAAAATAATGTATATAACATTTTCCCAGAACCAAATATTGCTCTTGATTTTCTCACAATTCATATAAACCTTAGATTTAGTTACAATAGTATCTTTGTATAGGCCTTGTCACATTTAGCCTCGGCCCCACTGCTCTGCTGACAGGGCCCAACTTTTTCACAAAACTCTCAAAAATCACTGGGTGGTTAGCTATTGCCTGTAGCAATCATGTGAACACTGTTTGTCCCAATGCCAACAGCTATAAGCTCAAGGAAGTGTCCTAAAATTTCAAGATTCCTTTACTTGCCTCCAATAATATGCTCAATCACATATTGAGCATGCTTCAGTTCCGTCACTGTAGTCAGTGCATTATGGGAGAATTTTGTGCGTTCACTTTTTAAAGGGAAATCTTTCTAACACACTGACTGACCTTCTAAACACAGCGTACTCTTGGGGACATATTTATACCACTATATGTCAGTGTCTGCCCACCCACTGATTTTGAGAGTTTTGATTCGTTTGTGAAAAAGGACGATCCTGTCACAGAGGTAAGATGAGACACATAAGAAAGGTGAGACATGAGAAAGGCAAATTGGTGAGATCTGCCAATACCTGCCCAGTCAGACGAATGCAGTCTGACCAACAGGAAGTGTCTTGGTGCGGTCATGACCCAAATATCCCTTAACAAATATTGATTGATTTGAAGATTTGATTTGATCACCATATTGCCCATGCCTTCCTTCAACCGTGACCAAAGCTTTCCAGCCCTGGAAGAGAAGCCCCAGATCAGCGGAGACCAAGAAACGAGACTGTGACCAGAGCACAAAACCAAGCCAGGAGCTACAGTACTTACAAAACCATCAGAAATCATTCTTTGATACATTTACGGCAGACGATGCAGGGATACCTAACTTTCAACTCACAAAAGATGCTATCATTAAATAAAAATCCATCCAACTGGTTCCTCGCTCTCAAAACGGTTAAGTTCATCACTAGTTTTTAGATGCATTTATATTTGGCCTGTGTCACATCAGAAAGCGCTTTGGGTGACCTTGGTCTGTAAAATGCGCTATATAAATTAACATTACGTTATACTTATTCTCAGCCAAGAGTCAAACAGTGAATTACGTGCAGAAAGAAGACATGGCAGACAAAGACAAAGACACTATGTTGTGGTTTCATTTGTCCACAACATTTTATTTTTACCATGCTACACCATACTATGTAACTAAAACACATTATTTGAATTTAAAAAAGTTAGGTTCCCCAGGTTTAAAGTTTGTTTTGAGCTTCTTTTGGAGGGATATTACCAGTTCTGAATGTAAATTATGTTTTGCTTTTGAGGAAAAGTTTAAAAATATGCTAAAAATCAGAGGAAGTTCTGTGATGACACGAGGGCGACACTATCCTGGACTTAGCATACCATAGTACTCATTTCATTTGCAGGGAAATGATAATTGATGGAGTTTACGGATGGCGCCACATATCCAGTGTCTGCTTTTCATTTGTCGAATACAGTTTTCTGTCAACATGAGCGCATTTGTTTGATCCCAGAATACAACCGGCCTCTCCCTGGTGATGTCATTTTACAAACAGGAAGAGAAATATATATTGCAAAATTTGTTTAAAACACTAAAATACTTTAATATCTGACACATGTTTTTATTGCTTTGGTAATATTCTATTGTAGTCCATATAATTTCGATTTCAGTTTAACCTAAAAAAAAAGAAGCCATAATAATCATTAAAACTGCTTGAAAAAATTCACTGTGCTCACAAAAACGCATATAATTTGACTTACTAACATATTTTTGGGTACAATTTATGTATTTGGACCATGCTACAGGCCGCTCCGCACATACAGTACGGCCGACAATCTTTAGCCGTGGCCTTTAATGAAAAATCTATTTGTTTTTTTGTATTTATTGTCTAAAATAGGACCAGACTTTATAGTGGGATGAAGAAGTTCTGCCAAAATGTATGTTTACACTAGTCCTTGTTAATCACTTTGAAATGAGGCTGTTTTGTAAGTCACGGCGGGACCAGGTCAAAGGCCATATTTGAAGAAGAATGTCATGTTTGGAAATCCTTGTTTGGTTGTTAGTGATTTGTATGAGACTATAGAAAAGTGTGGTTTACTAAGAATGTATGGAGAAACTTCAGAGCACACTCGGAACTATTTTTAGACACTGAGGAGAATGTTATCTCAAACTAACAAGCCATTATGTCATTAAAGCGTTAAGTTATTAATATTACACTGATGAAGTCAATAAAGGTTTACATCATGATCAGTGTGTGTTTCTTGGACTGTGCCGAAAACACGCACCATGATCAGTCTCTTTTGACTATAATGGGGCAAAGTCAGTGAAGCATGGGGGTGGAAATCGTATGGTTTGGGGCTGATTTTCTGGACAACTGATACGTATTAGGAAAAGGATGAATGGGGCCAAGTATCGTGAGATTTTGGGCAAAAACCCTCCATCACTAGTGACAGTGTTGTAAATGAAATACCATAAGTTAAAATGAAACTGATTTATATTGTGACTTCAAGCTAAAAATAGATAAACCTTCAAACACTATAAATACAGATTAACAAAATCACAATGTTTCTATTTCATAAGCATTGGTATTTTTGTCATATCTGTATTTTTGTCATATCTGTATTTTTGAGATCAGTAAGATCCACTGGTAATGCACCACCAGGGGATTTTCTGGCGTTTCTCTTACATTAAACTCACGTGAGGGAAACTATCTTTAACTCTTGTGATATCTCCCCATAAATCAAATGTGTTGTGTTAGATAACAAGAAAATACATGATACAATTAAATATGTGTGGATAAACAACACATTGGAAAAATTATAACACTAAGGAAGAAACAGTCCTAGGTCAACAGCCCCAGTCCTGGGTCTACAGCCCCAGTCCTGGGTCTGCAGCCCCAGTCCTGGGTCTACAGCCTCAGTCCTGGGTCTACAGCCTCAGTCCTGGGTCTGCAGCCCCAGTCCTGGGTCTACAGCCTCAGTCCTGGGTCTACAGCCTCAGTCCTGGGTCTACAGCCCCAGTCCTGGGTCTACAGCCTCAGTCCTGGGTCTACAGCCTCAGTCCTTGGTCTACAGCCTCAGTCCTGGGTCTGCAGCCTCCATCCTGGGTCTTCAGCCTCCGTCCTGGGTCTACAGTCTGTCCATCTGTGGGAGCGGATCCCTATCCCAATGTGGACCCACAAGGTTTCTCATGTTTTTTCCAGTTTTTTAAATTTATTTTTGAGTTATTCCGGGAGGATCTCGGGCCGTGATGATCCGGGACATTTATGGACAGTGGTCGTCCCGCTCCCCATCAACCAATGGCTCCTGTGTGTTTGTTATTGCATTTCCAGTTTGAACAGTTTAATTATGTGTTAAAACAACTTTACTCAGAAATATGAACTCCATGTTTCAATATATAGTTGCTCAACTTTACCCTTCAGAAAGATGAATTTAAAAAAGTGTAACTTAAATCCTGGGCATTCCCACATAAATATCATCTGAGAGTTTCCCATCAGTGCTCGAGACAAAGTACGAGACCATTTGAAGTAACATATTGTCAGTGGCACACGACAACACGGCGTCTCTTCTTTCACCATCATCTTAACGTGAAATCCAGACCTAGAAAATGACTGAATATGATCCAATTATAATCATTCCTGTCATTATCATCAAACTTGATAAAATTAAAGAAGCCACAGAAATACAAACAAATAAAATCCTTTTATTTTCTCCAACAAAGTGCACGCCTCAACTCTACAAAGCAGCACATTACGATGTAATGGAATAAATACAAGAAAATGGTCTGAAATTATAAAATGAACACAAGTGAGGAGATACACAGGTACCTGCACAGTCACGCTGGGGTCCGGGCCAAAACCAGTCTGTTTACAAGACACCTCCTGCTGAGGCACCAACACAATAATACTCAGAATAATGACGGTCAAGACTGGGCTGAAACATCACATTGTTCACAGTTTATGTAGAAAAAATACCATATTCCCTCAGCTTTCAGGATCTAAACTAATCGAATATCAAAATAAACTTTAATTACAGCCATATTTAGGAGGCTGAATTTGAATGATGCCGTTTTTAACAACAGTGAATTAAAACGACAGCAGCTCTTCTGAATGTCACCAGTCCAGATTCATATATTTTATTGTCTCAGTTTTGTTAGAAATATAAGGCCGTCCACGTCTTCAAAATCATAACCCACAATGGAGTAATCAGTGCCTAAATGTCTAATCTCTGAAGTCTAGTCCCTCTGTGGCTCTCCATTAAAAGGGCATGAAATATTAGAAATGACAGTTTGATGAGAGTTGGATTAGTGCTGTTGCTTTTATAACTTTGACTTAACTGGGTGCATTGTACACGGTTCATGAACATAGATAATGAAACGGCCTCTAAAGTCACTAAACAATCTGAATTCTTACTCCGACGAGGCGCTTTAGAGACCGTAACAACGCGCCGCTCATGGTGTGGACAGACCTGGGATCGGATTGACTTGTCAAAGGTCATTTTTAACAGCCTTCTGTGGAATGTTCTCATAAATGTGTTGAAATATTGATGTATTGGCCGAATGAATAACCGCTTTATAATGTGACTTTGAGAGTTAGCAGGAAGTTTCTAAACGCTCACAAAAATGTTCTCCATCTCCCACACTGCAGACATGTCACAGCTGCTTAAAAAAGACCTTAACTCAGATTATAAAACACATGTTCCTCTGATTTTTGACTGCGATGGATTTGCTTAATGTGATGTTAATGTTTCTGATTTGAAATTAAAATTAACGTTAGCTTGATTTAATAAACTTTAAAATAAATATGGGACAAGGTGAGATTCCCATAAGTCTGTGCACATGTGTGGAATACGATCTTGTGCGACAAATGGCAACTATTTTAGTACAAATATAACAGATCATATTGTGCCAAATGTTGCTTTCAAAATTTCTTATCTGAACATCATATTTTACTGTTTAACTTTAATTTAAAGCTGGTGTACTTAACTTTCAAATCACATACTGTAACTAGGTCTTTGCTCTAGAACGGCTTGCTTCTTTCACATGTGTTTTCACATCTGTAGGTCTGCTCTTTCAGACAGAAAAGTACAACTCACTCAGCCAATCAGCTCCCAGTCCAAACTGTCAGATAGTGGCAAATACTGACTTTAAGTTTGCAAAATATGTTTTCTAATAACATAAAGAAGGTGTGACATATTGCTATCTGATTTGTTCACAGTAATTTCCCAAGACCGTTTCTGTTGGGAACAAAACAGATGTCATTTATGGAGGAAAAGTTCGGTACTCCATCTTTCACAAACAATAGCAGAATTTCTTCTTCCAAATCATCTCCTTGTCTGGTTTTTGTAGACCCAGCCTAGTGGAAAATTTGTCTCGTCCGATCTCGGTTTGTCTCTGAGGGAAAGCTAGATGTTTTTGTGTGAATTAAAAAATTGTACTTTACATAAATGTCAGAAAAATAACCTAGCATCGTCAAATAAATAGGACTAGCTTAAAAGCACGATGCTGAATCCATCCCCCAGAGAAACTTGTCTCTGAGCGGCCACATGTGACTGGGGCTGGTGCAGCAGGACGTGCCTTGATCTTCCAGACTGGTTTGTTCCCAGTTTGTGTCATTAACTAACATGAGCAAACATGTCCGCCAGGAAAAAACTTGTGCAATGTGCAGCGGACTCCGCGACTCGACGGCCCGCGGTGGGGCTCGGAACGGTGCAACATAGTGTTCTTTTCTGTAGGCAAAGAAAGTAAAGGCTTCATGTTTCACAAAATAATTTAGTGCTCTTTAAATAAAAATTTAAAACACTATATTCATGTGGTGGCTCTTAAAAAAAAAAAGAAAGAAAAAAAAGAAAAAAAATCATGTAAATCTCACAGACTAAAAGGATAAAGAGACATCAATAATATTAGGAAAAGAATGCGACGCCAATGAAAAAAAAACAAAGAAAAAAAACAAATATCGACAAGAAAATTCTGTACATAAATAAAATCAATATACAATACAGTACCTGCAGATGTTAATGCATACAGTACACTTCTCTTTTTACATTGTTTTAGTACGGGCTCCAGCCTGATCTATATACGGAACACAGACTGTGAAAAAGCGGCGTATTTAGTACTTTTTAATGGTTATTCAGCGCGGAGAGAGACAGCTTCTTTTTTGTTGTTGAAAAAACGGGGCGGGAAAAAAAAGTCCTTATCCTTATTGCGGGGATCGGATGGGCTGTGTTTTGGAGTTGCATACGGACAGCAGAACCAGGCGGAGGGGGAGGCGTGGTGGTGGTGGTGGTGGTGGTCAAGGGGGGAAGTGGAGCCTTCGCAGTATCCCCTGTACGGTTACATTCATGGGGCCGGTATTGCAGCGACCGGCCGTGTCCACCTGAAGAGTCTGTGCGCGGGGGACTTTCAGTGCTGGAACGCGCCCGCCGGCTGGGCTGTGGTTCTGGGGGGAGACGGTGGTGGCTCTGAGCAGGGGGGATTGTGAGGCGTAGGGAGTGTGTTTGGGCAGGTGGGCAAAACAAAGTGTGGTGGAGGTCGATGGAAAGAAGAAGATCAATGTGGTTTCATTTTGCTTTCTGCGTCTTTTGGAGAGAACTTTAGAATGATCCTGGAGAAAAGTCTCTTTGCAAACGAAGGGCCCAGAGCAGTTTTAGCGCAAGTTACATCCAAGAATAGATTTTGTTGTAAATAAGCAAAAAATTTACACCAGCAGTGAAATACACTTGCGCCAAACGAGCGGCGCTATGAATAGTCTGGAGTATGTACGCATCAACGCTGCATATTCTCATCACTGGATCTTTCTGCCTTACTTGGTGAAAATTGGGAGTGAAATTTCCTTTTCAAACTGACACATTTCTCCTTCAAGAGTTTTTATTATTGTTTATCATTATGTTTCTCTATTTGGTCTTTGTCAAACATGCGCTTTGGATTTCCAGGTTTAAGTTGACTTAAAATATGGACATTACTTTTCTGATTGCAAAATTGTTACTGCGGCTTAGCGATACAGAAAAAAATGCGTTTTGAGAGCTCGCATAAGACATGTGTTTTACAGAGAATGGTGAACACTCTGGTTTTCAGACCTGTTCATCGTGACTGGCTCAAAGAACAGAACGGCAACAGTAACTAAGATACAGTAACTACTTGTTATCTTTAAGATTTGTATACAGTATGGCCATTTTTCAAACCACCTCCTCTCTCACCACCAGCCTAGTGACACCTGCCAAAACATATTTCCTCAATGCGACATCACCCGTTGAAAGTCTCCTCCCAGAGCCCGTAGAGTCTCCGCGCCCTTTGAAAGCAGCCGGCGAGCGCTTCATGTCCTTGTAATCCAGTGACGAAGATCTGGCCCCCGCGCGCGCACCTTCCTACCTACCTACCGACCGTCCGCCATCACAGTTTGAGCTCGTTGGCGATCTTGCAGGCGATGTTCTTGAAGGCGATGGACGTGCCCGATATCCTCTTGAAGCGCACGCCGTTGAGTGAGAGGCGCGGCAGCTTGCACACCTCCATCTCCCACTGCACCAGGTTGTCTTGGCGCGCGTCGCCGTGGACGCAGAACAGCAGGAAGCGTTCGCGCTGCTCGTAGTCGCAGCTGTTGGCGTCCAGGACCTTGCGGATCTCCCTCATCATGTCGGCGGGCTCCATGGAGGACGTGGTCTTCATGCTCCAGGTGAAGCGCAGCGAGCGCGGCTTGGAGTCACGGCCCGCCTCGTCTTTGGTGTCGCCCGATGCGCTCCTGCGGACGGACGCAGAGGGGGGACATTTTAGCTTGGTTTGTTATAGAGGTCCTTACTAACTTTCATACATACAGATCATATAAAGAGGAAATATTATGCATTATTCTAGGCCAAAATGATAATGAGACTATTTACCTTATTTCATTTATCATAATGCGAAATAAGCTAATTTGTTTAAGTAGAAAACAGTGATTCTCATAAACAACTTCCTAACAACAGTCCTACGAGACAACTGCCTTTGTGATTTAGGGCTTTACAAAATGAATAGAGTTGAAATGATGTGGTGAAATAAGTATCAAGGGTAAACAATGCTGTAGAGCGTGCTGACATATGGTCTGCCCGTGTGGTTCTCCTGCTGTACAAAGGCCGAGAAGCAGGAGATGCAAAGGGAGGTGAAAACTACTGAGGAGATCATTGAGCTCCTCTCCCACAGATCTGAGTGTGTTCACCTCCCGCTGCCTACTCCCATCCAGCACACCGACTGTAGCACCTGCAGCCCTGCTGCCCTCGGGCCGGAGGTACAGGTCACTCCCATGGATCTATTATAATAACTGGATAGGGTATTACTAGCTTGGAGCTGAAGGACCCGTGTGCTCGGGGGATTCTCACAGTACTGCAGACTAAACCAGACTAAATTCATGTGGGCTACCCAGACATTTTCCCCAAAGAACTCGAAGTAAACTAAAACAGCGCGACCTCAGCTGACAGAGAACCTACAGATTTAATAAAGGTCGGATTTTGTGGGGATTTTAGTGTCCCTTGTCATCCTGAACTTTTTTTCTTAAATCATTTGGTTTTCTTTAAATCCACACTTTAGTGCCACAAACTCTGCTCGTCTGGCTCCCGCTCTAACTCTGATTGGTCAGAGCGAGGCCGAGCCACTTTGTGCACATGCACGAGAGCCACACACACGTATTTGGTGCAACGCATCATGGGAGATCATCCACTGTGCAGAACCGGGAAGACAAGATAATGCCCAAATACAGGCGAGTTCCGCTAATATGGGCCTTTATCCCACCGCTGTCAGACTGCACAATAAGTCACTTTAATTCACTTGCACTAGAACTGAAAAACGTCTTGTGTCAGCGACCGTGCCGGCACATGCGCCACTCAGCACAAACCATTCATTTGAATACGCCGCCATCTTGGATCGCCGGGGCTAGGTCACTCCCTGCCCGAACCCCCAAGCTGTCAGACTGCTCAATGAACACTGCTCCGAGTGATTCTCAGTGTCACAATGACATCATACCAGGGACGTGCAGTCAGGGGAGGCAGGGGAGGCAGAGCCTCACCTGCCATTATTGGAAACTAATAATTATTTTAGTTTAAATATATAATTTATATCCACTGTCCTATGCTTTTAATGTATATTCGGCACGGTTCCCATCAGTTTTGATCATTTCTGAAGTCAAAATCGCCGAAATCCCGTTATTCCTATTCAAAGAGACGAGGTGAGGCAGCGCTCCTGCGTGCCTCACCCCAGACCGCTCCCTCACAGTGTGTGTGTGTGTGTCTGAGTGCACTCAGCTCGTGCAGTTGATATATCACCGTTTGTTTCAAATATCCTGCTTTAAAAACATTTTTTAAACTCCTCTTAGTGTTTAGTAGTGTATTGCACGTATGTGTGTACAATTTATATTTAGTTTAAGTCTTTTGATCGTAGATGAACACACAAGGAAAAAGCTTGGCGTGAGGCAGGCGGTATCTGTGCCTCACCGCTAGGGGTGATAGTGAGCATAAAGTTCATACCAGAGTTGCTAACAAACAATCAGCCCAAAATGCTATTTCTTTTGCTGGAAAATGGATGATTTGAATGAAGATTTTTTTTCTCAATTGGACTTTCAAACAAAGAAAGAATTAATATAGACTGGGAGACCACCACTGGACTTACGAGGTTAGTCCGGCTGCGGGGGAGGAGTTTGTTAATCTGTGTTTTATGTTGAACATTGACAGATACCGGCAAAGTAGTGCTTTTCCGAAAAACACTGATTCAAACACTGCTCAAGAGTTCTGCAACTTGTTTAAATTATTGTTTATGTTCCTCGCGTCTCTCTCTCCTCGCGTCTCTCTCTCCTCGCGTCTCCGTCTCTCTCTGCTCCTCGCGTCTCCGTCTCTCTGCTCCTCTCTGTCTCTCTCTGCTCCTCTCTCCTCGCGTCTCTCTCTCCTCGCGTCTCCGTCTCTCTGCTCCTCTCTGTCTCTCTCTGCTCCTCTCTCCTCGCGTCTCTCTCTCCTCGCGTCTCTCGCACCTGCGCTTCTTAAAGATGTTGTTTGATGCGGAGCAGAGTCAGCAGCTAGATTTGTTGTGAGATTATTAAAAGAAGCTGGTTCTCTTATCTTTACAGTATATAAAGTTTGTGGATGTCATTGCATTGGTGATTAAATGCTATTTTATTTGAATAATGATTGTAAATCTGACTTTTAAAGTCAGTGCCTCCCCAATCACAAACCTCACCGCACGTCCCTGCATCATACTATCAAAGGACTGAGGTTTTAGAAAAAGGGGCGGAGTCAAGTTTTTTTGCCAGAAGTTCCTGATATTAGCATGATAGCTCTAAAAACAACTCAAGTTTTGTAGAGGAATAATGGTGCAAACATGCAACATGATCAAAGAAGTAGATGTTGTACAATATGTGTCTTATCTATTTGACATTAGTAAAAGATTACATGTATTTGACCATGAGACTAAAATCTGCAGCACGACAGTTTATTGTCTCACTATTGATTTAGCAACAATAAAAACTTGGTGGTGCCTGAAAGCATGGAACCATTTGCGTCGTCGTCAGTCATAATTACATTAACTGGTAACGTGCAAATCCTAAAAGCGCAGAGCAGATGTGTAGTCCTCAGAGTCTGGTCAGTTCTGAGACATGGACACCTCAGCTCTGTGCGGTTCTCGTGGGTCACTGTAACAGAACCCAGCGCCACCACATCATCAGAACCTGTTAGAGGAAGTATGCGGCACGTACTCAGCAGCGGACCTCCGAGTGTGAGTGCAGCGTGAGGTGTGTTTTAAGACTCTGACATTTCTAACAGGTCATTAGTGTAAAACAGTACGAGCTATACTTTATATATAAACATAATGTGTATATACAGTACCTTGCGAAAGTATTCGGCCCCCTTGAACCTTTCAACATTTCGCCACATTTCAGGCTTCAAATTAAATTTTTTGTCATGAATCAACAACAAGTGGGACACAATCGTGAAGTGGAATGAAATTTATTAGATAATTTAAACTTTAACAAATAAAAACTGAAAAGTGGGGCGTGCAATATTATTCGGCCCCTTTACTTTCAGTGCAGCAAACTCACTCCAGAAGTTCAGTGAGGATCTTTGAATGATCTAATGTTGTCCTAAATGACTGATGATGATAAATAGAATGCACCTGTGTGTAATCAAGTCTCCGTATAAATGCACCTGCTCTTTGATAGTCTCAGGGTTCTGTTTAAAGCGCAGAGAGAACCATGAAGACAAAGGAACACACCAGGCAGGTCCGAGATACTGTTGTGGAGAAGTTTAAAGCCGGAATTGGATACAAAAAGATTTCCCAAGCTTTAAACATCTCAAGGAGCACTGTGCAAGCAATTATATTGAAATGGAAGGAGTAGCAGACCACTGCAAATCTACCAAGACCCGGCCGTCCCTCCAAACTTTCATCTCAAACAAGGAGAAGACTGATCAGAGATGCAGTCAAGAGTCAAAACCTACAGACACTGTGAGAAAGTGCAAACTCCAGAAATGCACTGTTCCTTTTAAGATTTGAACCCAGGACTTTCTTGCTGAGAAGTGAGGGGGACCGTTAACACGAGTGCAGAGTGGTCTTTAGGCTCCTACCAAGGCTGCACACATGCAGGCCTCGGGGCCTTCCAATCCATTCATGGACAAAGGCCTTGCTTAGCTCACCTTAGCTATAGCATTTTAACCATGTATCTTGCAATCAACGTTTCCTTCATGTTATTCTTGACAATTTGTACATTTCATATCTAATCTGTATTGCATTAAATCTACAAAACCATCTTTGTCTGAAAGTGATATTTGTACTGATTTAACTCCAGAAATTGGGTCACTGATTTGTAAAATAATTCATTACCTTCAGATTCTATTGAAGAGAATTGGACTAACTTGCAAATTAAATAAAGGACTCATGAGATTACTAGATAATGTGACGTCATACGCACGTTATCAGTTGGGATCAGTGTCCCTAAATATAGCTTTTATCAATTATTGTATTGACTACATGATTGTTTTGATCCAATTTTCCGATATCAATTAAATAACTTAAGTTATGTATGATATCGACTTTTCTCACCCTACAATTGAAAAAGCATTCAGTCATTTTCTATGAATTATTTATGTGTATCTTTCTAAACAACTCTTAAATCCTCAGTCAAAGAAAATTATAATTACGGTCTACAACCTTTTGGAGTTTTTAACCATTGTTACTCATCAGTCACAGACCGGGGGTGGTTTTTTTAGCCATCCACGCTGATATCAGTAACCTCTGGCACAAACATGTCGCTCCGCCCCTTCTGTCTCAGTCCAGTAAAATTATTTTACTACAATGACATCATGCTCAAACTCATTTCACCAATGTTTTCTACTGATGTCATTTGAAATTCTCAAACATAAAATGACAAAGTAAATAGACTCATTATAATTTTAAAGTAAAACAAATATGCATAATATTTTTTCTTTAAATGGGGCACTTGGTCCAGGCAATATTCAGACTCTCACCTTGGGGTTTCTGTCCTGGCACTGGCCTCTCCCTCACTAGGCACCCTGAAATAAACAGGAAATGACCGTTAACTTTAATATTAACTGGAAAAAGTCTCCTCCACCCACCACCACCCACCACCACCACTGGGCAAAATAGAGGGAGATCTGTGTGGGCTTCATGCCAGGAAAGAACCCACATTTCTGGGTACACGGGACCAGCACACCGGGTGATAACGTTGTGGCCAGCAGAGTTTGAAAGTGCATCCTTGCTTTCAAAGTGTTAACCTTTCCTTAATCTCGACAGTCTGTATTAGAGAGAGTAAGGAGAGGAAAAGTCCAAGTTAAACTCGTGAGGAGGGCAAAATAACACTGCAACACAAGGGAGTGAGTTTAGGCAAGGGTGTGGTGTTGGGGAGGGGGTGGAGAGGCAAGCGGAGTGTGGTCCTACCTCCGGGTCGACCTGAAAGACATAGCTCTGAGCGGAGAGAGAGAGAGAGAGAGGAGACAGCTGTGAGCGCTTAGCGGGCAGATGGGCGGCCAGCGTGAAGGTGTCTGCAGGACACTTAAAGCACAGCAGGGGGCGCTAATGTACGTGGTGGTCGCCTCAAGTTTGGAAATATAGGTGAAGCAAAATGTGTGGCAATGTATAGGGGTTTGGACAAAAAGAAAAGGCCTCTGCTGGCAGAACAAAATACATACAGAAGTAACTGATTTAAATAAGTTTAAAGCTCAGTCTTCAATCCCTAGACTAATATTAGAGTGAATGTGTTTATTACGGTAACTACAAAAACTTTAAAATGAACGTATGGAAGGAATAACCAGTGCATTTTAGACGGTATGTTGCTTTTCAAACTTATGAGCAGACATCCTCATGACACATGTGAATCCTCCACCAAGCGGGTTCTTTTCTATGGAATGAAAATTCTCTCTCAAAGAGACGATTTTGTTTTGTTTCCAGTCCAGCTACACTGGAGTGGTGTAGAAGTTTTTCCAATGTCACTAGTTGTTGCAAAAGCACCTGAAAAAAACTACAGTGTGCTAGGCCAAAAAGAATGTTAATGGTGCAATAAAAAATAAAAAAACTGACAAAAATATTTCATATATTTTTGATTAGATTGATATGAAACAATGTTGCATATAAATGAACTAAACATTGCTTGTTGTAATGAGTTATTGGTGATAAACTTTAGCCAAAAGGATTTTAAATCCTGAGGTACACAGGAAAAGGAGCTGGAACTAGTTTTACTCATTTTTTGTCTTAATTTCAGAGAAAAACAGATCCTATGTACAGTATGTACAGTAACACACACATTGTCTCGACCGGCTGCAAAAAACTTTTGTGACTCAAGTTGCTTTACAATCCTAATGCTAACAAGGCTCATACCTGCGCACAAACTTGGAGGTGATCTTGCCGATGATGCCTGTGGAGGTGCCCCTGCGCTGCTGGGCCAGAGCCCCCGTGTCATGGGACAGAGTGGGGGAGGCGGGCGGCCCGTTGTAGGTGGCACTGCGCCGGTCACGGAGCTGCGCGCCGTGGAAAGTGCTGCGGCTGGTGGTGCCCCGAGGGAAGCGGTTCTTCTCTGGGGTACTGATGCTGTGGGCAGAGGGGGACGTGGAGGGGCCCCGTGGGGACGAGCTGCAGTCACAGCAAACAACAAGTCAACACTGAGAGCGCCTTTCAGTCTGTGCATTCAATCTGAATCAAACATTTAGGTTACAATGGTTACATTTCCTTTACAATGTTGGTAAGCTTAGACTTTTAAGCTTAAAGATTTGATTTATTCTCTAATATGAAGAGAAGAGTGCTCTTCTCTTCCTATGGTTCTATGCTGTGTGTTGCAACACTGACATTTCCCCACTGCATGACGAAAGAATTTACTCATGTCATATTTTGAAAAGTCGTATCAGTGATTGATTGTAGGAACAATATTGTTAAAGTAATAATCAACATGAATGAAAATATGACTATTTTAAAGTCTTGTGAGACAAAATTAATCGACCGAGATGTAACAGTTTTTGCAGATTCTTTCAAAACCACTCTTAAGTTACTGCCTCCACTACACCAACTCTTTTTGTCAAACATTATCTGAGCAAATATAGACCTCATTTTGAAGATCTGAATCCATCTATATCATCAACACAAACATTTCCCAATCAATTGTGTGTGTGAGAGTCTCTGTGCGTGTCTATCTGTGCGTGTCTATCTGTGCGTGTCTATCTGTGCGTGTCTATGTGTCTGTGTGAGAGGAGCAGGACAGCTCTAGTTTCAGACTTTGCAGAGGCCTGGTTTAGTCCAGTGTGACTCAGTCCTGCAGACCTCACCTGGCCTTGAGCTCTGAGTTGTCATCAATAGGGGGCAGTGTGCTCTTGGAGGGGTGGCCTGAGGAGGACATGGACTTGGTGTGTCGGGGCCGCGTGGAACTCATGGCGGTGGAGGAGGTGCTGCCGGAGACTTCGGTCAAACTGTACATGAGCAAATCACACCTGGTTATTGTACTCAAGACCTAAGACTCAAGTGATCTCAAAAAGAATGAGTTCCAGGTGAAGACATTTATTTCAGCTCAAGTCTTGATAACGCTAACAGAAAGTATGTGAAAGCTCGGCAGAATACATTTCAAACTGTGCCCTCCCACTGTAATCGTCCCAGAAGGCCGTCATGGTAAGCGATAATGTGCTTAAATGGTTTTGGTTAATTAGACGCTGCAGACTGAAAAGCTAACGCTAGTGTAAGCATGTCTTACCTGCTGTCTTTGCCGTTGGGGATAGCTGAATATCGGTCTGTAGAGCGCTCACACACATAAGTATTCCTTCGAGTCATGGATCCATTGGTCTAGGAGTGAACAGAGAAAAACAAACAAATTTAAACTATTCATCATTTGGGTTGATGGATGTTTTTATGTTCAGTATGTGCACTTGTTTGAGCCAAAATGTGAAATCCTAAACAGTCTCCATTAAAACTCCAAAGCATTAAAACTTTAGCTACTTGCCTCCTCTGTGAAAAATTATTAAGTATTTTTTTACACTCTTTTTACACGACCATTTTTACTGGTATCAGTACTGTACTATTAAATTTTTACTATTGTTTTTTTTTTTTTTTTCAAACCCAAACTTGCACAGCCAACCACTTCAAAACAGGTTTGAGGTTAACTGTGCTTCTATGGGAATGTATTAAATTGTGGTCAGACACTCTTCTAAGTTCAGATAATCATTTGGCATAAGTTCATGTTTTGTTTACTGTCATTTTCTCTGCCAGTATGAAACATTTCTTTAACAGTATAATGTTGGTAGTAAAGTGTTTCAAAAGTTTAAAATGTATAAAAAATACATTCTGAGTTACAGTGGTCCCTTGTTATTGTGGAGGCTATGTTCTTTACACACTTGATTTTACATTATTTTCCTATAGCAGACTTTGACACTAGTATCTATACTTTTACAGTAATATTTTGGACAAGTATTTTTGTCACCCGTTTCTTCTGTACGAGTGCTCTACAGGTCTGCTCTAGATAACAGATTACTTGCGGACATTGGTCTCTACCCGTTTATGGACTTTCTTGAGTTTGAACGGTTTGATTCTCTGATCTGTGATGGCAGATTCAACGGTTTTGTAAAGTCCTCCGAGATAACTACTGTTGTGATTTAGGGCTGTACGAAACTGAATTGAATAACATGGTGACCCCTACAGTGGTGGTGGTCTTCTTCCTCTCCTGGACCCCCAGAGGCGAGGCGGGCACATCCCCCTTGGACGTGCTGAGCTCCAGTCTACGTGCCCCGTCCCACTCCTCCCGGTGGTCGCTCTCAACGCTCAGAGCCTGGCCGCGTTTGGTGTACGAGACGGCGGGAGGCACTGAAGGACCCACTGCGCCGCACACAGAAGACAACTCATCATTACAAAGTCCGACTCACAATAATGTATGTGAAAAACAAAACAAGAAAAACTGCAAACAGCAAGCATTAACAAAATATATCACTCCATCACCACAGGTCGATATACAGGTACAGGCCAAGTACGCAGGGCCCTGTACTTCAAAGCTGGTGTTTTTATCTCATTATGTTTGATCACTTTTCATATCAATAAAGACTATGAATCATGTGCATTGAGGAACTTTCAGTAAATGCCAACTCCAAATGATTGTTCTCCTATAAAAGACTATAGAAAAATGAGAATCCAAGTCCTAATGATTCCTATATGCTGTATGTCAGTCATATTCTGCAAACATATATACAGCTGTGTTTGGGTATTCTAGCTGGGTTTATAAAAGACATGAACAAGAATTACCGGAATGTTGTGAATTATTCTTGTTTTTATACATACTGCTTTTTTTTTAATACAGATGTACGGAAACTTTGCAATGTGTGTTTTTTCATTTGGTTCTCATCATGAAGCTGTTGGACTATAACTAGGTCTGAAAGAAATCGCCAAACACACCAAATGTCACAAAATGTTGAAGACATCAGCTGAGAAAGCTAATACAAGCCATGCCATAATGAGTAAATGCAATAAGAGACTTTCTGACGTACTTACAAAAACAAATGGATATTTTGTCTAACTGAATGAGAGACGGATACATGAAAAACACTTCACAAGCTTTGTGCTACAGGGCCCAGGTCTGAAGTAAAGCTGTTCCTCCTCATGCTTTGAGGTGCTGCGGGACAGCAGCCAGCAGATGGCGCCAGACACAATGGCCCCACATGAACCAGGAGGAAGCTGCTGGAATTCAACAATTACCTTTTTTCAATAAGGAGTTAATGTGAGCATGGTTTAAACTGCTTGAACAAAACAATGCAAATGTTTAAGGAGTGGTGTGAAATTGCTAACGACTGTGGTCTATTCTTTTGATCTTCTATCAATCTGAGGATCACGTTAGGAACTAATGAAACCACAGAGAATATCTAACACATTCCTGGTTCTAAAACTGTGGTTCTATCAATAGAACAGCATTATTTGGCCTCCGTCACATCTTCAAATCAGCTCAAAGCATCGATCAGTGACTCACTTTCTTACAAGAAAGGTTTTTTTTCTAATAAGATGAAGACAGCATGTGGTCTGATTTTTACAAGACTTTCAACTACACGTGTTCTTTATGAAACTAAAAAAAGTTTGGTGCGGGCAGCTTTAAAGTCTTATTTTAAAGTTTGCATTTATGTATTACATTTGTATCTAGACATTGCTGTTTTTCCATTTCCCATTAAAGAACGGCAAAATGTGTGAATAGAGGGCACAATTTCACACCTTAAAATGGACTCTTGCACTGTGCATTAAATTGCTTAGAATTCCATTAAAACAGTGTAAAGTGCAGCTTCCCCCCTCAGAAGACGCAGGCAGCAGCACGCTCAGAGCCGGGAAGGACGCGGGGTTACTTTACTTGGCTTCTCTACGACACCACCACCTCCTCCTCCTCCTCCACCACCCTCCTCATCCCCACCATGATCACTGTAGCGGCGCTGCTTCTGATTGGCCGAGATGCTGCGCGTGACTTTGGGGTGGGCGGGCGAGATGCTGGAGCTGTTGTTGATGTCGCTGGTGGGCCGCTGTCTCTGGCCCAGGACACTGTTGGTGAGAGGCTCGCTGCCCTCGAACTGCGGGACAAGAGGAGAGTGAGTCGTCCCCGCAGTCTGACGATGAAGGCCAATACTGTGGCTTTAGCAGTGAGAACTTAATAGTCAATGTTTGAAGCTGAAATAGTACTTCATTTGTATCTTTTTTTGACTATGACTGCAGAATAAGGATAAACTAAAGCTAAAATACAGCAGTCTCTCGCTCAGGATAAAGCTGTCTGTGTTTAAGTAGAGATTTAAATTAAATTAGTTTAATTAAGCTAAACATGTCACCAAAATATTATGTCACATGATCATAGGTGTTTTAAAAACCAAAACATAATCACATTCATGCAGAAAGATGTAAGAATGAATAAGCTGTGTTATATGACTGCAGTGTATAGTTTGACATGAAATATTAATACTTCACACTATACAAGGTCAAAATAATGTATGTGATCTTGACAAAAGGAATATTTTACATTTTAACCAATGACTAAAACGGAGGTGTTGTTTTGTAGCTAACAGTACGGTATTGGGCTGATCTATCTCTAGTCCTTGAAATAATGTGGCTATAATAAGAGTTTAATTCTCTGTGACCAGCTGTACGAAACATTTTCTTACAATGCAACAAAAAACAACATTATATTTGCATACATATATGCAAATGGTGACAAAAGAGCTTAACACCGTATATACTACATTATTCTCTGAGAATAAACAATACAATTAGTCATAGAAAGCAAACTGTGAGCTCTCTCAAGACTCACTTTACTGCCCTGCTAACGTCTATAATGTTTGAATATAGTAGTAATTTTAAGAGATGGTGTGTAAAGTGATGAAGTTTTTTGCATGCATTAAAAGCATTTGGATTCTGAAGACACATTTAAATAAAACAAAAACAACCCAAACTTACCTTACATTATGAGAACCCAATTAAAACTAGACTACAAACTGCCCCTTCCTGGAGTATGACATCACTTGGACAACCTAATACCCCCTGGTCTGTGAGGCGCGCAGCGGGGTGACTGACCTCTGGAGCTTTCCTGCCCAGCAGCAGGTAGGTGGCCATGACATCATCATACTTGTGGTTCTGCAGAGAGTCCGTGATCTCATCTTTAGGGAAACCCATCGTCACCATCAGCTCTGGGAACAGTGAGGAGCCGTCAGTATGAGCCAATAAAACATATTTACCATTATTTATTCCAATGACAGACCTTATAGAATGACAAAGAATTGCTAACTATCTTGAGTTGGAATCAATATTGTACAGTATCGAATAATTCTTTGCGGTAAACAAAGGCATTACTCGAGTTAGGAATGACACAATAATTACTATATATTTTGGGGATCAATAACTTTTGTCTGTACATAGCCTTTGCAACAATTGGAAGGTCTAGCCCTTTTATTTGTAATGTGTTTTATCGAAAAGAATTTTAATATAATAGAGGTTTGAATAAGATATATATGTATATGTGCAGGACGAAGGCTTTTAGCTCAACGTTGTGTTATTTATTTATAGGAGGCACTTAGCTCTTAAAATACTTAAGACATTAATGTAATGACGCTCTTACAGAACTCTGGCGCACCATGAATGACCAAACATCTTACTTTAATATTTATTTTGTTTCCAAAATCTACTTTCTGCCTTTCTAACTCATGGAGACCTATAATCTGGGAGAGCCAAATTCCATAAAAACGTGTCCAATAAAATTCCCTGTTCTCCCCGGGTCCAAATCAGTTAAGAGTTTTCTTGGCTTGGTCTTAATTCAAGATACAGAATAATGTGTCAGGGCAAAAAAGCTCACCAACTCTCTAAAATTATCTATAAATGATTAGTTTTTCATTCATTTTGAGGACTAACTAAATTATATAATTTTGCAAGTTGAAAATCTCCAATAATTTGATATATTTCCAGCAGTGAACCTGATTCATTTATCTTGAAGTCCTTTGTGACACACATAAAAAGCCCCATTGTGCAAACAGGCCAATACCAAAGCACACACACCTATCCTGGATGTATCGCCGAAGTCTTCCTCCGGCTCGATGTAAGGCTTCAGCTCCTCCTCCTCATGACCCACATTCATCCAATGGTCTTTCATTATTTGCTGATGGAGAAGCAGAGAAACACACACAAACACACGCACGGATAATTAGCCATCATTAATGTGCTGCCTGCCTGCTGAAGCGCACAAGCTCCTATATCTAATCATGTGTAATTAAAGCAGGACCCAAGGCCACGGTGGTGCAGTCAATGAGATGGCATAATCGTCATAAGTTCAGCTAGGGATGCACAACAAAAGCCAGATCAATTTTTATCTTTGCTGGAGAAATCTTTACAATTGAGCACTAGTAAATGCAGGGAAATATTGACGCGGAACAAAGTCATTTAATGAAAGAGTATTACGAGCACAGGAAAGACATGGGCACTCATTTGCTGTGATAAAAGCTTTGTTGGCAATCGGATTTTTATCTACTTTAACTTTACGCCAAACAAGGGACAAACTCAACAGAAGTGTAATGTCAGAAAGTTAAAATAAAAGGTTTTTGTTCATTTAACACGGCTGTGCTAATTCCGTGTGTCAATGCCATTAGCAACTAGCCGAGTTAGCATGGCATGAGCTAAAGGCTAATCATTGACCACAGTTAAGAATATCTGAATACGAAGAGTTAATTTACAAAAACATGTGAAAGGCTTTCAATCTTAATTTGAGCAAAAGTAAAAGGTGTAGGTTAATTGTACACTGCTATGCTAATTTGGTGTGCCAATGTCATTAGCAATTAGCAAGTTAGAACAGCAATTAGCATGACAGAAGCTAAAGGCTAATCATTAACCAGTGTTTTGGAGAATACTTTGAATAAGAAGTGTTCATTTGCAAAAACAGACACGTCCCATTAGAACACTATGTGAAAGGATAACAATTTAATCTTTACCAATTTGTTTTTTTAAAGCCAGATATATTTCAAAATGTCAACCCTGCTTGAGCAAATACTTCACTCCTTTCATCAAAATGTGTTTAAGATTAACTGAAGGAATAAAACATTTTGGCAAATTATTAGACAGAGTTGATCGATAAGATAAATAGACTAAGACTGAGAGAGTGCTGACGCCACCCATATGTGGAAGAAGCCAATTTGAACATAAGCTAGCTGCTGTCTCTCTGCTTCTCTGGAATTTTACCCAAGTGTGTGTTTTTACGTTGATATAAAATTACAAATAAAGAAAATGTGTGTTATTATTGACATGGTGTCAGTCAAAAGACATCCTTTATGGATTAGACAAGGTTGAGTGAGTTGGTTTTATTCCCATCTCAATGTATTACTTGATTTGGTTTGGATGTTAGTAGTACATGATCACAAGATTATTATAACTAAACCAAAAAAAACTTTTCATTGAATGAGTCTGGTGTGTGTGTGTGAATGGTTGGTGGCACATACTGGTTGCCTCGCTTCTGTCAGTGTGCCCCAGGGCAGCTGTGGCTACAGTAGTAGTTTATCACCACCGTGTATGGAGTGAATGAATGACATGTAAAGCGTCTTTGAGTGTCCAAAAAAGCGCTATATAAAACCGATGCATTATTGCAAAAAAAGTTGCAAATGTTTAAATGTTTGCCAAAACCAGTGTGTAACCATACTGTTAACAGTGTGTCAGAAGTTTCTACAGACAGTCATTGCCAAATATGAAAAGAAAAAACAGCCACCTAGAAACACATTCTGTTTTGAACCATAGATTGTTTTCAAATGCTTCTTATAATGTAATCCGCAGGGAATGGAGGAGCAGCGATACCTCTAGACTCCCTCGTTTGACCGGGTTGAGGACGAGCAGCTTCTTGAGCAGGTTTTCACAGTCTGTGGACATGTAGAAGGGGATTCGATATTTACCCCTCAGGACCCTCTCCCTCAGCTCCTGCACACAGAAACAATCAAAGAGACAATGAAATACAACAGCCCGAGCGAACTATCTGACCTCTTGCATTCCGCCTTTATATTGAATCTCATGAATCAGGGCGAGTGGGTCAATCCCGGTGACAAAAGCAGGAAATTCCTCACTTAATTTATTCATTTCACTTTGAGGTCATCCCTGTAGGCAGCCCAGCCGTGGACAATGTGTTTTTGGGACGCTATGGGTATTCAAGCTGAACTGTCGACATTGGAGGTTCCCAAAAGTATATACCCCGTGTGCGCCGTCGCCATCGTATATATATAAATAATTCTGAGTACCCGCTGTAATACCGTTGCGTCCCTCTAGGGGCAGTTGGGAAACACATGTCACCTTCTATCTAGAAGCTTCGGTTATAACAATGCACAGATTGGCTCCAGGTTAGGTTTGTTACAGCACATTTATTACACCACTTGCCAGATCTGACTCACTGTATTTTCAAACAGTTTTTACAGTGATTTATTTGTGCAAACTCACTAAAATCTCAGGATTTCACCAGGAGTCGCAGTAACAACAAGCAATTACTGCAAGTCATAATACCCAGTTATTGAATAAAGTATTTGTGGATTAGCTGCTAATCTAATTGGTTCTAAATGATTTGATTCTCTTGCAACAAAGAAAAACAAGCACTTCTGGAAATCTTTGATGCCAAAACAAATGTAATATATGTATAAATATAAATGTAAATCTAATATATGCAATATGCATTTATTAGATTTTAATTGAGTAAGTTTGGTGATGGTATCGGAAAGGTTTGACCAATCACACACATACTGTATGTAAAAATCTAGTTCAATATTTTATCAAAGTGATAAAATAAAAGCTGTATGTGTAATTCATCTATATTAAATAGATCTATATAAAATATGGTTTATTTTCTAATATGGACTTGCTTCCTACAGCAGAAAGGGCTTTTTATGGAAATAATCCAAATATTGATAGAATTGTGAATGTTTTGTTAATACAATTTATGAATAAAGATTCTATTCACAAAAATGCTTCCAATGAGCTGATACAAATTGAAAAGAAACAAACACAACTTCCAAGTACAGATTGAAAAGTTAATTTTTGCTCATTGATGGACAATATTATGGCCAGTTAAAACAATATTAACATAAACTAATACAAAATGAAGATGTGTTTTTGCAGTTATGTGGTGGGCTGAAATAATATACTTATTCTTAACCAACCGCAATTTACCAGTGGGCTAAATTACAGAATTTAAAGCAATGCTAAACTGTCTGTACGATTGTGTTTCATTGCTTCCTCAGCCACAAACAACTCTATAAAATCCCCAGTCCTTGCACTTTACAGAAAAGCACATGAAAAAGCCCTCACCTTAAGATTCTGGCCGTCGAAGGGTAGCGAGCCGCTGACCAGTGTGTAGAGAATGACCCCCAGGCTCCAGACGTCCACCTCAGGCCCGTCGTACTTCTTCCCCTGGAACAGCTCGGGCGCGGCGTAGGGCGGGGACCCACAGAACGTGTCCAGCTTACTCCCCACCGTGAACTCGTTGCTGAAGCCAAAATCTGCTATCTTGATGTTCATGTCGGCATCTAAGAGTAGATTCTCCGCCTGTGGGGCACGAGATTGATATTTCCACGTCAATTTCATAGAGGTGTGATGGATGGGGCGGCCGAAAGGCCCCGCGGTGGAGTGTAATGAGAGGAGAGTACACGGCAGGGGAAATTTGATATTGTATTTATCGACGTGGAGCAGTGGAGATTCTCACCTTTAGGTCGCGATGCACTATCCTCCGCTGGTGGCAATACTGCACTGCGGACACGATCTGTGGTGGGGCAGGGGTCAAGGGCACAGAGGAGAGGGCAACAGAGCGGGTTAGAAATAATATTGTGGAATCTCTGTACATGTGCGTAACTGTTGGTTTATTTTCCAAATTCAGAAAATACTAATTTAGGGCCATTCCATTTTACCATTCATACTTGTTACACCATCTATAATTTAATATTGAAGATATTATTTTAAATTCCTAAATAATTATCAATAGCCTAATTATCATTTTAATGGCGAAATATAATGTATACTATTTAAAGTTAAAGTAACACATTTCTTCATACAGTTATGTTTTTTTGGAAAAGGTCAACAAGCTGTATTAAAAATAGTGCCAAACACAACATTAAGTCTGATGCTTGTCGATTTGGATCGTTACAATAACAGTTTACATCCATGCATTCTAATAAATTCTGATTATTATTTATTGATTTGTTTTGAAACTGACAACAAATGCTCCATTTTACTGATTTGCCACTGTCCCCATGGAAACGACATGTGAAGGTGAGTCCATCAAACAAGAAGTTTACTATAATATACATTTACAACAAAACAATACTAACATGAAAAATTATAGAATCGCATTTCAAAGGGAGTGTGTGGTTTATGGAAGTTTTTTATTTGGATTTGCTTTTAAATCTGGGGCACCTAACCTTTATGTTTCATAAATGATCAGTGTAGTTTGTCCAAACATAGTCTTGTAGATGTGAAATGTGAGCAAGTCAAATATACTAATGAACCTTTGTGAGTCACTATTTGACTCTTTGGGGCTGACAACTGAGTGGCTGAGAGAGGGTCGTCGTTTACTTTTCTGTCTGAAGAAACGCATCTGAAAATGTGACAGTACACCTTTTGGAAAACATGCACAAAACCCATGTCTAAGTGCAAAGATGTTTAAGGTGGAGTGAATGATGACAATTTATCTATTATGTATTTTTAAGTGTAAAAAGTTGTTAAAAACGTTCAATAAAATATAAAAAAAGAAATGTTGACAGATCAAAATGACGTGTGTGTGAATACTAGTGAACCAAACGAGAGGGAGGGACTAGTTACATGGATTATACTACATAGTTTGAAAGTCAGGCACCTCAGCTTTAAAGTCTGTACAGGAGACGGAAAAGCTTTATTCTTTAAATGAATGCAAGATGTTTAAAGCCAGTAGGGAACAGTGTCATGCTATCATATCTTAATTGAGGCAGATGGCAGAACCCCCCCTGAGAAAATCGACATTATGCATCTGTAATCCAGTTTGTAAAGCACGGTTAGATTTCGTCGGTGGTTAGAACGCGTCGCCAATACCAACGCCACCTCACACTCTTCCACTTTCTGTGCCCGCCTGGTCCAGCTGTAATCTGATGTAACTCCTGCCCTTCCCTTCCCTGCATGTGTCCTATTGTCGTCTATGACCTTTTATTACTAAAGCCAGGCTGCTCTTTTCGCCGCTCGTTTCTCCCTCGCTCCCGGAGTCACTGTGTAGCCTTTAAGTCAGACGGCGGGTGTTATTTATTTTTATTTTTTACCTGGCACAAAGACGTCTGCGGCGGCTTATGGCTCCAAAGCAAATCACAGGCGCTTCTCTGACATGTGCCACCCACCTGTGTCTGCCGTGACTCACGCAGGAACCAAATTTACACCCTCCGAATGTCAAGCGATTTTGAGACGAATTCGGCATTAATTGGCTCATGCGGGAAAAATGTGTTACAACCTTGAGATGCCGGCGTTGCTCATGTTTCGAATTGAAGGAATATTTGCAGATAAAAGAGCAGCGGAAAGTTAGTAATCATAATTGGATTCGAATAGTGAATGCTATTTGGGAAATAATGTTTTGACGGATTCAAAAGAGTTTATTTCATGCTGGAGGCACAAGAGAATGTCCTGCCCAAAGGCTCGGCAGAAGTACGCACATTTGCTTCAACATATTGGGTTAAGTGAACGTCATCGTCTTGTCACAATACTAACATTTCAGAGTCAGTTTTCACAAAAATCATCAGACTCAATTTGCAACAACAATTTTGATACCACAAAGATGGATTTTAAAATGCACTTGTTTGGGACAACTACGGGAAAATAATACTTTCTATGATACAACAAGGGTTCATATTTTTACTATCACCATAAATTGGTCTAATTTTATCTAGTTTAGAGAATACTCAAAATACAAACTTGATTCATCCATCCATCCATCCATTTTCTTCCGCTTTATCCGTTGCCGGGTCGCGGGGGCAGCAGTCTAAGCAGAGACGGCCAGACTTCCCTATCCACACACACCTCCTCCAGCTCGTCCGGGGGGACCCCAAGGCGTTCCCAGGCCAGCTGAGAGACATAGTCTCTCCAGCGTGTCCTGGGTCTTCCCCGGGGCCTCCTCCCGGTGGGACGTGCCCGGAACACCTCCCCAGGAAGGCGTCCAGGAGGCATCCTGAACAGATGCCCGAGCCACCTCAACTGGTTCCTCTCGACGTGGAGAAGCAGCGGCTCTACTCAGAGCTCCTCCCGTGTGACTGAGCTCCTCACCCTATCTCTAAGGGAGCGCCCAGCCACTCTGCGGAGGAAGCTCATTTCGACCGCTTGTATCCGCGATCTCGTTCTTTCGGTCATTACCCAAAGCTCATGACCATAGGTGAGGGAGGGAACGAAGATTGACCGGTAAATCGAGAGCTTCGCCTTTCGGCTCAGCTCCCTCTTTACCACAACGGTCCGATACAGCGACCGCATCACTGCGCACGCTGCACCGATCCGCCTGTCAATCTCACGCTCCATCCTCCCCTCACTCGTGAACAAGACCCCGAGATACTTGAACTCCTCCACTTGATTCATATACTAAGAAATAGACTTTCTTATATATTGCTAACTAGTCTTCTTCTATACCAGACATTATATACTGTATATTGTCTGGTATAGAAGAACCCAATACTTCTAATTTTTTGTCCCCTTTTTGCTGATTTTTCCAACACCTTTTGTAACTAATGTAGTGTCTTTCCTAGATTAAGTATGGATTCAAATCTGATGATCGATACTTTTGACAGCCCTAACATTTAGAATCACTTAACATATGTTGTTGATACAAAGAGCAGAGCAAAAGTTGAACATAACTTAAACTTTGAGCCGTCTTCCTGACTTTCATACCACCAAAGTGCATACAGCTCAGAGTGGCAAAAAGCAAGGACACCACACAAGCATTCTTCCTCAGCTTCTTCAGAAAAAACAGCTCTAGGAAAGCTAAGTGCAGAGCTGCGTCACTACCACTAGGTGTCAGAGCGGCTTTCACAAGTGTAGCTCCATCTCTGCAGTCTGAAACAGCTGCTCTGATGCTGGTGCAGTCCTAAAGAGCACTCAAAACACTCTTTTCATGGCTGATTGTAATATAATGTAGGAAATAGTGTCCGTGCTACATTGTCTTATGTTATGATCCAGAGGTTTGCTTTGAAAACTTTAAAAATCTGAGTTTGATTTTTGATATGTTTTTCCTCAATATGGGCATTTTTCTTTCCAAGCCTGGAGCCTATAGCACCACTCACTTGTCTGAACTTGGCCCGGGCCTCTTTCTCCTTCATTCTGCCGTGAGCCACCAAGTAGTCGAATACTTCCCCTGCACACACAACCACATACAAGAATTGGTCACAAAAAAGCTTATTCATGATTTACAGTTTGTTTCAAAGTTAGCAAAGGACCAAAATATCAAAAGAGTACACACTATGGGAATTTAGGATCTTGGCTGGTTTGGGTTAAATGAAGAGGCTGAGCTTATATTGAGTAGAGGCTAAAATGTGGTATATCATGAAAAAAATAGTGAAAAACTTTTTCTTAATTACTATGCTAAGATAAATGGCGCAGCCTTTGAATGGATCCATGTCTGAACTCTGGTCCAATACAAATTATGGGAAATATTCCTGTCTGGTTCTTGTGGACCCAATCTCGTGTTCCATCTTGCCTTCTGGTCCCACCCCAGTAAAAGATGTTTTTACTTAGCCGTGTACTTCTTTGAAACGTGTTTTTAGACGTGGTTCCATAATAGTTTGAATAAGTAATAGCTGAAGGGTATAATAGAACATCTCATGGCAGTTTCATGGCCTTTCGTGAACTGCTGACATTCAAGTTGTACGAATGCCAAATATGCAGCTTCTTGGTATCAGAACTTAACTTATCAGACTTTACAAAGTTGTCGATTTGCCTACAACAGATGAGGGAATCAAACAGAGCCATTGGACCATAGGGAGCGGGAAGACCAATAAATCACTACTTCTTTTACTCCTTGCTTTTAAATTCCTGTGCATTCTATTCCTTACTTTGAAAAGGCAACGCAGCATAAAGACAGGTTTGAAGTGATTAGCCATGCTTCTAAGTTCTAATAACCATACAGCTTAAGTTTGACAGTCTGCTAGTGTGAAACATTTCTACAGTGAAATGTTGTTGTAGTTATTGTGTTGTGAAAAGAGTTTATTCAAGGCTACACCTTTGATGATTAAATGACAATATATTTAGTTGAGACGAAAAATAATTTTACTATTTTACTTGCCTGGGAGCACACTTTTTTGTTCCATGAATAATACAATATGTTTGCAACAGATAAAGTCTTGTAATAGTAACACTTTGTAACTTAATCAGACACAAAAATGTAAAGTAAGACATTTTGGGCTGAGGGAGGGTGGTCCTCTCTTTTCACTCGTCTCTCTAAGAAAGCAAGAGGCCAAAAATACCTGCTTGTGAAAACTAGCGATAGAATCAAACTGTTTAGAGAGCGAGGGAAATGCTCAGGGGTATTCAACCATGTCGAGCAAACCAGGATCCACCCATTTTGTCAAGTGTGAGTCCAGACTTTATGGTCAGCACTAGATCATATACGGAATCGGGACGGAAGCGGAAGTAAATATAACCAACGACGTATTCATGCCTAAACTTAACCAGCCATTCCCATAGAATAACCCCAACCCGGCCTTAACCCTAACCATCTTACTCAGACACCTAAAACTTAACCAGTCACCACTTATTAGTCTAAAACTCATTCAAAAGTAGGAGTGTTACTTCCGGTTTCGTTCCGATTCCGTATATGATCTAGTGCCGACCCAGACTTAACCTGGAGACTTCAGGAAATGGATGGAGTCCGATGTGCTCCTGCTTGTTTGGGAAAGAAAACCTGCACCACACCGGTTAAATACCCAGGAACTAGTTTGATGGATTCTTTACACAGTCTAAACGGTTTTACTTCTTTCCCACTCCATTACGAGATGACGCATTGTAAATATAAATTCATTAGTAAATATATATTGACATTGTAAATATACCAACACATGATGAAACTAAGGCCAACACTGCTTGATTGTATATTTATGTTTATGTACATTTTAAGCAACATAAAAATATATAAAAAAAAGAAGTAAATACTAATGAATGTATAATTTCTTCTCAAATAAATGAACTCAATCAGCTCACTTTGTTGTGTTGTTTGACAGTTGTGTACCCATCTTTCAGTACCTGCAGGAGCTTGTTGATTTTTCTACTAGCATCTACAGTTGAAGTACCCTTTGATGACATGTGGAAATGAAATATGACTATGACTTAGAACTTACCACCGCTGGCGTACTCCATCACCAAATAAAGCGTCTTCTCCGTCTCTATCACTTCAAACAATTTCACTGCACACAAAAAGAAGGTGTCAGGAAATCCCACAACGTATGATGAGATTTACATTTACAAAGTTCTCAAAGGCAACCCAAGGACACGCTGCTCACAGATCGTAATGCAGATAATAGACATAGATTGTGAATAAACTAGGCAACCTTGGGCCTTTTATTACAGCTTTATTGCGTGGTGAATAGACACTTCTGTTTGTATACATTCATGTGATTTAGCATGTGGCTTGCTTCAACTCGTTTTTCCTTCACGTTTTTGTGCCACCTGAAAATGAGCACCAAAAATTCGTGTTTCTGTCTGATTTCATGATTAATGCTTTTGAAAAGTTGAACAGCTGTGTTGCCTGTGTGGAAAGAGGAGATTGTGTCTAAAATCATGCTTCAGCTTGTGGCTTTAGCTGTAAGGGTGAATGGAAGACTGCACAGAGAAATCGTGACTATACATAGAAATATACGGTTTAAGTGTTTCATATATATAAAAAAAATCGTAAATATAATAGTTTTGCATCAATAAGCTTTGGCAGAAAAGTTGTAAAATATGTCACATTACAGCAAGTAACACCAAAATGTTCTGTGGATGGTGAAAGTTCACATTTCACAGAATATTACAAGCAAAATTAGGAAGTATTTTGTACTCAATTAAATTATATTTCTGTGTTTTCTCCCTGTGTACAACTCTAGACTGTGTACTAGTGGACTCACTCAGGGCTGACGTCACCGAGAGTGTTTAACAGGAACAAACGATTGTGGGAATTTGGAGCCCAATAGGTTGCCTTCATGTGACATCACAACATTCCAAAGAGCTTGTACTTCCAAATTGTAGTGCAGGGCAGCTGAATTTTTTTTCCTGGTAACTAAGGTAACTCAAAAGTTTTTGGTCTTATTTCTTTTCTCTGTAATTCCTGAGCGAATCCACATGAAGCAAACACGGTCACATCTTCTTTGTCATTACATCAAATATTGTCAAATTATTTGCTCATAAAAGGTGTCTATAAGTGGTGACAATGTTCAAAGACATGATGTTGGCCAGTGCAAAGGACTTTCAGATATAAGAATAATATGCATCTAATCACTGTCAAATAATGAGCTGGGAAAACATTGACATTTTCTTTTTCATTCTCTTTGCTTCTTCTCTATTGGCACCTGCACTCAAACTATAATATAATTGTATAACAAGAACAATTCAATTCAATGTATTTGTGCATACTCCTAAATCCCAACAGCAGTCCTTGACAATGGCACCTTCCTCTCTATTCTCTTCCCTTCACAGTAGCCACAGAACCAAGAGTGAGGCTGGTCCATTCCCTCTCATACTATTTGCTAAGACGATTTTAAAGATGGAGGGCACTTGACAGCTGGCTTTATGTTTATAATTGATATATTTTTGTGTTTGTATGGATGTGTTTCTGCTTCTGGAAACCTGAATTTCTCCTACACGGGATCAATAAAGCATCTATCAATGAATTTGTTATCTTAATTTAAAAAGACAATAAAATAAATAAATACACAGTCAAACCTCACATTATCTACGTCTACAACTGGGAGGTGTTCAAGTGCAGTGTCCTTCCCCAAAAAGGCCAGTTCTGTTCATGTGTGACTAGAGCCAGGCCCATGTGAAAACGCCTCTATTAAACGCTGTAACATCACTCTTCCTTGATCATGATGACACACGGGAGCTGCCGTCACCCCTGGGCAGCGGTCGGACAGGTCGGGCTCTGTGCAGGGTGGTGGTTGGAGATTATAGCATTGTGTGGCGCTTTGTGGAGTGAACTCACCTATATTTGGATGATTCAATATCTTCATTATTCTGACTTCCCTGAAGAGCTGTGGAGACAAAGAGGGAAAGTCACTTATTAAGCTGGCACGATCCCTTACAAGTCAATTCTTTACACAGGGGTTAGTGTAGCGTCGAAATAGTCCATTAGTCATCATGTTACTGCTCGCCGTGACATGTGAACATAAAACTGGTATAGTTAAAAAGACAAAAAAAAACGTGTAAAAAATGATTATGAAGAAGTTTCATCGAATAAGTCTAGATTTAGGATCAGATACTATAATACCAATAGCTATTAGGGCTTTAATATTAAAGTTAGTTTCGAATAATTGCAATAAAAATCAAAATTGCAATTAAAGACTGCAATTATCAAGTATTTTGCAAACAAAACAAAATTGAATAAAAAGACACAAAAAAACTTGCGTCAATGGCGTGAACTCCAGGAGTGACTTTTTAAGTTGCCTTTTTCTCCTATTTGCAAAGTGAGAAATTGAATCAAATGATTTTATGCTTGTTCGAAATTCTATTGCTTTCAGAAAATACAAATATTGACTTATTTTTTACAATGTATATGACAGGAAACTCTTGTACAATAGATTAAACTTCTAAATCTGAAATATGTGGGAATTTTGTAACAGCTTATGGTTTAATACAAGCACCTTTCAAATAAATGATATTTTGCCCAAACCGTGCTGCTCTGACTTTCACATTCCTACAGCTGATTTCACATCCAACTGTTACAGAGTGTCATAGTATGAGAAGAGAAACGGCAAGGCCACTGTCTGCACAAGTGTAAGGCAATCCTGGCACCACCAAAGAGCAAGGGTTATAACTGCTACTGGAAGCTCGGCAATCTGATCCCAGCAAATATATAACATGGTTGTGTTGTACACGGCAGCAGTAAGAATATAGAGCACAAAAGTGGAAATGAAACTGGGAATTGTGTGAAAGAAAGCTTTGTGAAATTCATCCTATTATTAGACCAACCAAGTAACGAAGGACACTTAGACGATCAAAACAAAGAGGACTGCTCCCTGGTTTAAAGGTGTGTTGAAGGAAAAGGATTCAAGCAGGGACATGCAGAACACTTTATCAAACAATCAATAATTAAAGATGATAGAAAGCATACATTTAAATATTTACATTGTCTATATTATGCAAGATATCTCCATCTCGTCATCAAGAATACTCAAAAAGTCAGACAGAAGGGAAAAAAGGAATCTCACAGTTAGTGCTAAACAAATATTGTACACACATTTCTGGTGCAGTAAAGCTAAAGGAAACACATCAGTTGTCACATTCTCTGCCTTCATTGAGCAAAGTAGCAGGAGTTGGGACTGAAGAGAATCTATATCTGAGGCCGTCTGGGTCTAGGGTTCAATACAATGTTGACAAAGTGTTGAAAGTCATTCTGCAAGACTGTCTTTGCAGTAAACGGTCTCATAGAAGCGTTACGCAACAGCTCATTAATCAACTACCAGCAGCATCTGAATCACATGTATGGAATAATATCAAGCGACATCCATCCATAGCCTCTTATATAGCCTCTAAGCTACTGCTACTGCTGTAACTAACTGAGACACAGAGACCTGGCTCGTGCAGACCTTGGCAAAAAAATAAAAAAAAATAAAAACACAACTGTGGGCCCACCACTTGCAGAGGGGTCCGTGGTGGCGCGGTGCTCAGAGGACTGGGCGGTAGTCGAAGGCGGAGACCTCGGCAACCCAGTCCACGCACACAACATCTGGCTCTTGGGACGTGGAACGTCACCTCACTGGGTGGGAAGGAGCCCGAGCTCGTGGGGGAGGTTGAGCGATACCGACTAGAGGTAGTCGGCCTCACCTCCACACACAGCTTGGGCTCTGGAACCCAACTCCTTGAGAGGGGTTGGATGCTCCACTTTTCTGGTGTTTCCCGCGGGGAGAGGCGGCGAGCTGGGGTGGCCATTCTCATTGCCCCCCATCTCAGCCGCCACGTGTTGGAGTTCTCCCCGGTGAATGAGAGGGTCGCGTCCCTCCGCCTCCGGGTGGGGGACAAGTCTCTCATTGTTGTGACGGCCTTCTTGGATTCCTTGGGAGGAGTACTGGACGGTGCACCGCCTGGGGACTCCGTTATTCTCCTGGGGGACTTCAACGCCCATGTTGGAAACGCCAGTGACACTTGAGGAGGGGTGATCGGGAAGAACGGCCCCCCTGATCTGAACCCGGGCGGTGTTCAGTTGTTGGACTTCTGTGCCAGTCACAGTTTGTCCATCACGAACACCATGTTCGAGCACAAGGGTGTCCACCAGTGCACGTGGCACCAGGACACCCTAGGCCGGAGGTTGATGATCGACTTTGTTGTCGTATCATCTGACCTTCGACCGCGTGTCTCGGACACTCGGGTAAAGAGAGGGGCGGAGCTGTCAACCGATCACCACCTGGTCGTGAGTTGGATCCGCTGACAGGGGAAGAAGCTGGTCAGACCTGGCAGACCCAAGCGTATAGTGAGGGTCTGCTGGGAACGTCTCGCTGAGCCCCCTGTCAGACGGACTTTCAACTCGCACCTCCGGGAGAGCTTCTCCCAGGTCCCGGCGGAGGAGGGGGACATGGAGTCCGAGTGGACCATGTTATCTACCTCAAATCGCCGATGCGGCGGCTCGTAGCTGTGGTCGCAAGGTCTCTGGTGCTGGTCCCGGCGGCAACCCCCGAACCCGGTGGTGGACACCGGCAGTAAGGGATGCTGTCAGGCTGAAGAAGGAGTCCTATCGAGCCATGATGGTTCGGGGGACTCCTGAGGCAGCTGTCCAGTACCGGCAGGCCAAGCGTGCCGGGGCCCGGGCTGTTGCAGAGGCAAAAACCCGGGACTTGGAGGAGTTCAGAGAGTCCATGGAGCATGACTATTGGTCGGCCTTGAAGAGATTCTGGCAAACCATCCGGCGCCTCAGGAGGGGGAAGCAGTTCTTTGCCAACACCATGTACGGTGCGGGTGGAGAGCTGCTGACCTCGACTGGGGATATTGTCGGGCGGTGGAAGGAATACTTTGAGGTTCTCCTCAATCCCCCCGTCACGACCTCCATTAAAGAGGCAGAGGCTGAGGATGTTGGGGCGGATACATCCATCTCCCTGGCTGAGGTCACCAAGGTGGTTGGCAGCCTCCATGGTGGCAAGATCCGTCCTGATTATCTAAAGTCTCTGGATGTTGTAGGACTGTCTTGGCTGACACGTCTCTGCAACATCGCGTGACGATCGGGGGCGGTGCCAATGGAGTGGCAGACCGGGGTGGTGGTCCCTCTCTACAAGAGAGGGATCGACACGGTGGCTGAGTGGATAGCACTCTCGCCTCTCAGCAAGAAGGTCCTGGGTTCGAATCCCGGCCGGACCAGGGCCTTTCTGAGTGGAGTTTGCATGTTCTCCCCGTGTCTGCGTAGGTTTCCTCCGGGTACTCCGGTTTCCCCTACCACTAAAAATATGTACAATAGGTCTGGCATGCGCCTCCTGTTCGGCGACCCCGCTCCCATCTCTGTGTGGAGTGAGAGACAAGTGCCCAAAAATAACAATTGTAAACCGCTTTGTGACTCTGGTCTGTGAAATGCGGTATATAAATAAAGCTTACTTACTTACTTACTTACAAGAAGGGGGACCGGAGGGTGTGTTCCAATTATCGTGGGTTCACACTCCTCAGCCTCCCCGGTAAAGTCTACTCCAAGGTACTGGAGAGGAGGCAAAGGCCGAGGGTCGAATCTCGGATTCAGGAGGAGCAGTGTGGTTTTCGTCCCGGTCGCGGAACACTGGACCAGCTCTATACTCTCCATCGGATACTCGAGGGTTCATGGGAGTTCGCCCAACCTGTCCACATGTGCTTTGTGGATTTGGAGAAGGCGTTCGACTGTGTTCTCCGGGAGTATGGGGTCGGAGGTCCTCTGCTGAGGGCCATCGATCCCTGTATGACCGGAGCCAGAGCTGTGTTCGCATTGCCGGCAGTAAGTCAGACCTGTTCCCGGTGAATGTTGGCCTCTGACAGGGCTGCCCTTTGTCACCGGTTCTGTTCACTGTGTTTATGGACAGAATTTCTAGGCGCAGTCAGGGGTTGGAGGGGGTCCGGTTCGGAGACCACAGGATTTCATCTCTGCTGTTTGCAGACGATGTTGTCCTGTTGGCTCCAACGAACCAGGACCTGCAGCATGCACTGGGGCGGTTTGCAGCCGAGTGTGAAGCGGCTGGGATGAGAATCAGCACCTCCAAATCCGAGGCCATGGTGCTCGACCGGAAAAAGGTGAGGTCCTTCCTCAAGTGGAGGAGTTCAAGTATCTCGGGGTCTTGTTCACGAGTGAGGGAAGAATGAAGCGTGAGATTGACAGGCGGATCGGTGCAGCGTGCGCAGTGATGCGATCGCTGTATCGGACCGTTGTGGTAAAGAGGGAGCTGAGCCGAAAGGCAAAGCTTTCGATTTACCGGTCAATCTTCGTTCCCTCCCTCACCTATGGTCATGAGCTTTGGGTAATGACCGAAAGAAAGAGATCGCGGATACAAGCGGTCGAAATGAGCTTCCTCCGCAGAGTGGCTGGGCGCTCCCTTAGAGATAGGGTGAGGAGCTCAGTCACATGGGAGGAGCTCGGAGTAGAGCCGCTGCTTCTCCACGTCGAGAGGAACCAGTTGAGGTGGCTCGGGTATCTGTTCCGGATACCTCCTGGACGCCTCCCTGGGGAGGTGCTCCGGGCACCTCCCACCGGGAGGAGGCCCCGGGGAAGACCTAGGACACGCTGGAGGGACTATGTCTCTCAGCTGGCCTGGGAACGCCTTGGAGTCCCCCCGGACGAGCTGGAGGAAGTGTGTGTGGATAGGGAAGTCTGGGCGTCTCTGCTTAGACTGCTGCCCCCGCGACCCGGCAACGGATAAAGCGGAAGAAAATGAATGGATGGATGGAAAAACAAAACTGTCCATAACTTTTGTACAAAGTCAACTTCATATTAAAAGTCACTGCATATATGTTGGCATCCGTCAGTTTTAGTTCCTTTGTGCACAATATATGGTGAAAAGCTTGAAGCATTGTTAACAGTCCATTACCTTGG